GTGCTGGTTTTTCCTCACCCAGTTGCCTTGTGTGCATCCCCCAGGCTCCAGCATCTGCCACAGGCAGGAGGCTTGGGGAGTCATCCCCGTCGCTACCACAGGGGATGTGAGCCAAACACACTCAACCTTGAAACCAAAGAAGCCTCAAACCTGTCATTAAAGCAGCTGCACCGGCAATAAATTTAGTATTTAAAGAAGTTCAGTGCCTGTTTAAAATGCAGCGCGAGTAACTATGGGAACAAGTTCAACAGGGTTTTATCATGCTGAAAAGCGACCCTGGGAAGGCAGGCAGGAAGGCTCCTGGGGGCACCAGAGTTTTTCCTCTCCAAGGGAAGAGTTGAATCTGGGGCAAATCAAGTAGAAAAATGAGCCAGGCTAGTAAGGCATCTTGGTTATGTGCTGCAAATAAGTAAGTAGAAGAAGGGGTAATAAAAGGTTTCAAAATCTGAAAAATAAGTTAATAAGTTGAATGTTAAGACTTTGGGAAAGAAAATACTTTTTTATAGTGTAAGAGAGCAGTTTGAAGATATTGGTGATGCCTGATAAATACAAAGCACACTTTTTGCTTTTCAGCTTCTTAGTTCACTTTAAATACCCTTTTGTGAATTTTTTAACATCTTCTTTCAATCAGCTCATGATGTATTTCTGTTTCTATTCCCTGACTTCACATCCCTTCTTCTGTAAATCATGGCAGGACAGGGAGCAGCTCAGCTGGGAAGATCACGGCCTGGTGTCTAAAACTTACCTGCCTTATCAGAGAGCAATCAGACATAATTGATTAGTGAATTGAAACTCAGAAGGAAAGATGGGGGTTTTTTTATCTGTCATTTTACAAGATGCACCTAAAATCTCAAGCCAGCTTATCTCAACACTCCTCCTGTGGCTAGGACCAGTATGGAAGGGGGCATGGATGTCACCACACTGGGCAGTTGATCCTGTTTCAGCAAACCCAGGACTAAACACGGGGCCTTGGTGAGGGCAGGGATTTAAGGCTGTGGTGCTGGTCCTGCTGGAAGGATGCTCAGGGCTGTAGAAAGTGGGAAGGCAGTAGGTGAAATCAACCCTGCATGGTGGGATTCAATAGCAGTGAGAGGCATTTACCTGGACTGTGGAGACCACTGGATCCTGATCATACTTTATGAAACCAAACTCCTAGGGATGCCTAGAGGACAGTTTTGGTTGATAGATGCCAGATCCCTGCTTAGGAATATTGCACTGTCTCAACTCACCTTCCCATAAGTGCTTCACCCAGACAAATTCTGGGGGCCAGCAGGAGGAAGACTGGAATTCAGAGGGAAATTTGATCAGGGGAGGGTTTCCCAATCCCCTTGGTCCCCTTGGAAATCCCATCTCAGCACCCTGCCTGCTGGTGTCTAACGAGCCTCTCAAGGAAAGAGACATCAAACCCCAGGATTTATTCTTAATCAGCCCAGCTTCTTAACACCTTCTCTGTGACCTTGGTTGCTGGGCACTGGTTGTCAATACACAAAAGGTGAAGTATTATTAGAAGGAAAGAGCAGCTGTGAGAGCTCTTCATGGAGTGCCATGGCCAGTGCAGGGCCACGTAAGACTTGCAGGCTACATGTCCACTGGTAACCCAGCCTTCCAGGACAGGGGATAATGGTTTTAAACTGAAAGAGGGTAGATTTAAATTAGACATTAGGAATAAATCCTTCCCTGTGAGGGTGGTGAGGCCCTGGTACAGGTTGCCCAGAGAAGCAGTGGCTGCCCCATCCCTGGAAGTGTTCAAGGTCAGGTTAGCAGGGCTTGGAGCAACCTGGTCTAGTGGAAAGTGTCCCTGCCTATGGTAGGGGGTTGGAATGAGATGCTCTTTAAGGTCCCTTCCAATCTGAAGCGTTCCATGATTGTATGACAATGCCAAGCCGGAAAGTAGAGATCTCTCTCCAAGCACTGTGTCTGGACTGAATCACTAAGTTCAAGCAGTTTCAAGCTGGTTTTCTCAATGTATGTCCAGCACAGCACACCTTGCATTGGAGGAGAAGCTGCTTATTCAAGAGAACCACGATGCTGCTGTCACCGGGTATCCAAAACCATCAGTCACACAGCCCTGGTCACTTAGCAACATGATCTAGTGAGTGACATCCCTGCCCATGGCAGGGAGGCTGGAATAGATGGGCTTTAAGGTCCCTTCCAACCCAAACCATCCTGTGATTCTATGATTTTGTCATTCTACAGTCCAAGCATGAACCTCATTAGGGTGGCTTTCCCCTGAGGTGCTCTGTGCTCTCTTTACACGTCTAGGTGCAGGAACTGTGAGCACAGGCAGCATTCCCACATCATTCCCTCGAGGGCAGCTCCTGAGAGGTTGCAGACAGAATTGTTAAACCTTGCCTTATCCCACATTATCCTCCCCTCAGCTGTTCAGTTGGAGATGCCATGTGGTGTCCAGCAACTGCCACATTCCTCTCGCGAGGTGGCCGCTGTGTGATGGCTGGGGGGGAGCACGAGGGGACCCCTCACTAGGCTCCTGCAAGGATCTTCCTTCCCAGAAATGCTGCAAGTCCTGGGCAAAAAGAGTCTTTCCATGCTGCTTCCCTTTGGGAGCAGCTGCCCTTCAAAAGGCCTCGTGGGCAGTGCCCTGCCATCCCCATCTTACACGCAGATGACTTGAAGATGAAGCTGTTCAGTCCAAATCACGTGACAGTGAGAGAAAGAGCTGGGAATAGGTCCCACATCTCCTTTTTCTGTGCTGTCTGCTTGTTCCTGGCCTTTCCCTCAAGCGCAGGGAGTTAACAGAACATGCTCCTGGACCTGTGCTATGCAGAGCAGAGGCAGTTTGCCCACCCTTGGGTTGTGCTTCAAGGAGCAGACAGGTCTTCGATGGCTCCATGCTTCCATCTAGTGACAAAAAGCCACTGCTCACCCCTCCTGCTTTTTCTCTCTGTCCTCTTTCTCTTTGCAATGCAGGAATGTGTCTCAGATTCCTGATGCTGAGCCTGTCCATAAGGCCATTTCCTCTGGTACACCCAACACCTACAAACCCCAAATGAGTAACTACCAACAAACAAAAGCAGGGGTGATATTTTTGGGCAGAACTTAACTCCAGCAGGAAAAAAATGGCTCGCTCATATATCCAAACATGCACTTGTTCATCCAAATGTGCTGCTTTCCTCTTTGGTGTGTGATAGCCCTAACAGGGTCATCAGCTTGTGGTGGGAGAGGGCTTACATGTCATATAACAAGACTCCTATGTGACTCAGCCATTCTTCTGCTAGACTGAATTCTGGACCTGTGTTTCTGGTTATTAGGATTTTCACCATCCTTCCCCTTTCTTTTCTTTTTTTCCCCTTTCTTTTCTTTAAGGAGTTTCAGCTCCTCCAGGGAACATTGTGTGCATTGTTTTGCCTAATATGTGACTTTCTGAAAAGAATAAATGCCTCATCCAAGTCAAATCTTTCAGAGCTGCTAACCTTGGACATTTTGTTGATTTTTTTTTTTCCTTAGGATTGGATCACAAAATGCTAAAAAGAATGACAGAGGTAGTAACTCACTTTTGTTGCTGACAATGACCCAGAGAGTTTGAGTGACAGAGAATGTTGGAAGCAGCAGTGTCAGGGCACTGAGAGCAGCAATGAGCCATAATGACCCTGCTCAGCCTCACCTGGGACTGCCATCCACACCCTGCCCATGGATCAGGAGACCTATTTAACCTCAGCTGTGGGCCTGTGCTCTCTCCCTTCTTCCCTGAGCTGTGTTATAGGAATACTGGTCTTCAGCCTTATCCCTGATCCTGCCTTCTAGCTGGATCATGGGCACATGTTGAAGTTGAGCCTCCAGCCCTGTTTCCCCTTGCTCCTGAAAGGTTGCCCCAGGGGGATCCTGGACCTGGTCCATCCCCTTGTTTGGTTCTGTCAGTGGAACTTGTTACCAGCATCTGGCTTTCTCTGCTGTGTTTAAGTTGTCATCTTTGAACTATCTCTTCTTTGGCACTACCTTTTTGTTTGACAATTCCCTCAAGTCCACTCTTTCTTCTGATCATGTTTCCACTGTAATCCCAGCTAATAAGTAAACTGAGGGTAGTTTACTGAGCAGGATGGAGTTAACTTGCATTGGGTTCCTGTAATCATTGGTCACATGTAGCTGAGACACTGGGGCTTGGCCTAGGAATAAACCACACACAACTGGTTCCACTGCTGGGCAGAGCTCCAGAGCAACTGGGGGTTGATTGCCCGTGACTTTGTGCCACTGTGTCTCTGAATTGAGGCTGAGGAAGAACAAGCAATCCTGTTTCACCTCTCTTTGGGGATGAGGTAAGAGCATGAATATGCACTACTGTTGTTTGGTTCGTGGTAACTCATTAAACTTCAGTTATGCTGTGGGGTTTGAGAGCTTCCTCCAAATTTCAGTGGAAACTTCCATGAAGGCATCCATGGAAGTGCTGGGGCTCAGCAACCCATCCGGTGACTCCATCAAAATCCATCTGGGCTTCAAACAGGGGAGTGCAGAGGTGGTAGCAGAGATACTATTAAGTGTCTGAGCTGAGTTGGGTCTTTCCTGCAGCCCAGTCAGTCCGTGGGGTGAGAGATTACACCGTGTAAGCTCACTACCCTCTTTTCCACAGTGGATGGTAAAGGATCTGGGGGGGAGTGGGTACTTGAGATGTGGTAAGGGACCAAAACACCCTTTGAGCATTCCCACCAAATGCAGACAGTATTGGGAATGCCATGGAAAAAATTAATTAAGAATATATAATGTAACCTTCAAGTCCACTTGCTGTGAAAATCAGCCCCAGATTGAATATTGGCATATCAAGAGACCATTCCATCAGTTTTTATGTCACATTGCAGGTAAAAAAAAAGAGGATAAAATGGATTCGCTCTCCTCCTGTTGGAGGATCTAAGTCATGCACCAATGGAAGAACAATTCCAGATTACTCTTGTTATGGTTATTACAGTTTTGGAACAAAACAGTTAATAGAAGCAAGCAGCTTAGGTTAATAATTAAGCACACTCAGTGGACTGCTCTGAGCTGTCTGTGACGGGATTTGAGCCTTCTGAGAAACTTGTCTGGTGGGTTTCAGCACTGAACCAAGAGTGTAACACAACCTCAACCTGAAAGTTGTGGTAGAGCTGGCATCAAAGGGATGGAGCTGTTGTGCTGATACTGGAGCTACTGCGCTTCATTCATTGGAGGAATGGAAGAAGAACAAATTGATTAAGGTAAGGTAATGCCAGCTAAAGACATAGTAAGACTAATAAAATGAGGTATAAATGATATTTTATGCACTTGCTTTGAAATGCAACATTCACTTGCTCCAGGGCTCTGGGCTCTGACCCCTGCCTATTGCAGGATGTTAAAATATGCAAGAAGTATAGTGAGATTAGTTACAGTAGGTCTTGTGGTATAATAGTAGAAGTTTAGAAGTTGCTTTATGGTGGCAGTTTTTTTCTCTTAGCTCTAATGTAAGGTTCTGCCCAAATCTCACCTCCAAGTGTCACTCTCCTGTTGCATCTTTTCTAGGGTGCCATCTCACCCTTCCTCATCCCTTTGCAGCCCTGCTCTTACCTAGCAGCTCTGAGGAGACTTTTTGTTTGAGATTTCACGACTGTGATGTATATTATATGGATTATCTTAAATCCACGTTTATGGTAATAGTAATAACGGAGAAGTATGCCCCATCCCTGGGAGTGTTCAAGGCCAGGTTGGATGGGCTTGGAACAACCTGATCTTGTGGAAGGTGTCCCTGCCCGTGGCAGGGACAATGGAATGAAATGATCTTCAGTGTCTCTTCCAACCCAAATAATTTTGTGATTTAAAAATGTGGCAAAATAAATTCACCCCCTTTTTTTTTTTTTTTTTTTCCCCCCATACTATTACAAAACCCAGCTTGAGGGCAGCAAAAGTTGATGGTCTGTCATTAAGTATTAGAACAGTTCCTGATATGGACTTTATAAAGGGAATGTGGGATGTGTCTGGCTATGACAGCAAGTAAGACCTAGTCTACAAGCACTCAAATGTTTATTTTATTTAATTATTAGAACAGTTCACAGCTGTTGCTCCCACAGGTTTGTACCACGAAGAAAGAATTCATATGAAGTTTGTTTTAATGTTAAAGGGAAGGTCCTGAGGCCCCAAGCCATGATTCTGAAGCCAGGCTCTCATGAACTCTCCGTTCAGAACCTTTGGAAAATATCCTTTCTGAGTGCTGGGCTGATATTCTTGGCAGGTGGGTGATGGAGAGGTGCTGTTTCCAACCACCCTGGTCATCAAACACCAGGAAAATACAGTGCCAGTGGATTGGTTACAGATTAACTGCACCCTGACATGGATAAGCATCTCTAAAAGGTGTTGAATATTATGGGATATTGACTGCAGCATACCAGACATTGTCCACCTTATCAGTGTTTTCTCATGGCATTATTTCCATAGCCAGTGTAGATTTTTTAATTAATTAAAAATTTTCTGTGTTCTACCTGAGTTGGAAACCTAAAATTTAATCAGCAAACTAGATACCCCTGTAAAATGACTTCTGGAAAATTCTGGTCAGTGGCTACAACAAAAAGAAGCCAGCCATTGGTTCATCTCTGAGCTTCAGAGAATGAAGGTACCCAAAATAAATCCTATGTTATCTCAGGAATTTGATGCCTTTAAGAAAGTCATGGGCATAGCAAGTTATAGGAAACTTAACACCATTGAAGCAGGAGCTCCTTTTCAGGCCTGTATGTCTTTCCTGAGGGCTTCAGAAAGAAAGAGCTGGACAGGCTGTTTTGGAGCCAGAAGAGGTTATATTTTGTGGGCAGCCTGAAGTTTGGGAGGGCGCACAGAAATCAGCAAACGCATTTCTTTGAGAGCTGGAGTAGTAGACATGAGGTCTATCATCTTTATTTTAATTCTTGAGGAGGACAGGAGGCTCAATCTGCTGCTTGGTGAACCAAGTCCTGAAGGCACCAACCCCCCCCTAAGGGGAAGCAGGACTATTACATGGGGGAGACGGCTGGAGGGAAAAAGGATAAGCAATATGACTAATTTGGATGCTTGAGAAGAAGGAGAAATGAGAAGAAAGGTGGAATTACAGGAGGACAGCTCTCAGACCAGTGTGTCTAATGCTGAGTGAGGCATTTTGGATGTTTGCATGACCCTTCAGCCTGATGGGTTGTTTTTGCAGTGGCAGCCACGGGATCGCTCATTGAGCCCCACGAGGGCAGTGTTGCTGGAGGAACCTGGATTACCATTCCCCTGGATGGTGAGTTTTAGATTCCTAGGAAGTACATGTCAAACTAGAACCATAAAATTTTCGTTTGGAATGGGCCTTAAATCTCACCTCATTCCAAACCCCTGCCATGGGCAGAAACACCTTCCGCTAGACCAGGTTGCTCCAACTTGACCTTGAACACTTCCAGGGATGTAAAAGCAGCAGAGAATCAACTCCATTGTGAGATTTGTGGCTGGAGTGACAAATCCCTAAGCAATGAGGCCATGGGCTGTGACAGTCATAACATGAAATCAGCTTGAAATTATCACTTCATAAGCTATGACTGGAGATTTTTTCCTAAGCAAGAGAAGTCATTTTTTTTACCTTATTTTTGCAGATATAGAGCTAAAAATTTCTTCCAAGCCATCCTTTTTTTTTTTTTGAAGAAGAGCTGAAAATCTCTTCCCTTCATAGGTCCCATGGTGCTGGAGCTTCAAAAACCCCCATGATAAACATGAGTTCTGAATATAAATTTCAGAAATTGAGAAGTCATGCTCCATCTGGGCCCAAAAGCAGCTGTACACAGCTAGGTCGGATTTTCTTCAATGATGAATATTGGTTCATTGTGGAGAAAGTTCTTTTTTTTTTCTTTTTTTTTTTTTTTTTTTTTAACCAGCTGTATATTTGGTTTAGCTGCTTACATTCTGATGCTCAGTCATTTCTAACTACAATGAATGGTATCAAGACTTTTTGCCTGAATATGGTGCATTTCCATAGAGACGATGAAATGGAGGGAAGAAAGGAAGCTCAGGTCTTTACAGCTTTGGCTTTTTTGTTGGGGGAAAACAGACAGGCCTTGGGAGAAGGGGGAAAAAAACCTTCCTGGAACTATGTGGAAATGTATAGTTTGCTGCCAAATGTGAAACCACTGTTGTTGTTTAAAGTGAGTCTGTGGGCTGGGAACCATCTGTGAAGATGCTGCAAAGGGAGAGTTTTGTGTTAGTCTTCTGTATTTCTTGCTGTGTTTGATTACGCTAAAAAAGTTAAACGTAGTGGTTCATGCTCAGATAAAACTTTCTGAGGATCAGGGATTGTTTGGGCATTGGTCAGTTTGTGGTGAACAATTGTTTTCATTTACATCAATTGCCATTTTGGGGTTTATTTTCCTCTCTCTTTGTTACTTTTTTTTTTCTTTTCCTTACAATTTCCTATTTTTTTCTTTTTAATTATTAAACTGTTTTTACAGCAAACCATGACTTTTCTCACTTCTACCCTTCCAATTCTCTCCCTCATCCCTCAGGGGGAAGGTGAGGGAGTGGCTGTGTGGGGCTGAGTTCTTGGCTGAAGTTAAACCACAACAACATAAAATCACACAAACATGATTTTAAAAAGCCTGATCAAGAGCTTTAAACGTTATTCCTATAGAAGCTGGGTTGCATATTGAAAAACATTTATCATGTGTCTTAATGTCTGTGATCCTGTCCTCACAGAGCTGTTCTGATTGACTTTATTACTTAGGCTTAGTATCCCACCATACGGAATCTGTCTCTCCAGCCAGTGTGTCCCAGCTGGAGGTGTCTCTGGTGAATCCAGACCTGCCCAGGCTGCCCTGTGATGTCTCTCCTCTGTATTTTGACTTACCCACTATAAGATGCAGAACAAGGTATGATCCACGACTGTGCTGTGGGTGAGACCTTGATGTTTATCTGGTAGGATCCCCATTTTCTTTCAGCGTCTGTACAGACAGTTTAGGAGTTGAAAGAATTCCTTTATCTCCTACAGTGCCCACACCTGAGCATCTCCTAAGCTGTGCTGCATTTGTTCTTGTTTAATGAAGCACGAGGCTATTTAGCATGAGGGTCTCCTTGAGGCATCTGGGACAGTCTAGACTCAGACCTTCAAAGGTTTGTAGACATCTAATTCTCAGATGCAAAACAACTAAAAAAGTCCTGGTGGAGATTTTACCAGCTTTCAGTATCCTCAACCTATTTAAGATCATGGGGAGAGGTTATGAGTAGAGCAGGAAATAAATATGGTTTCAAGCATCAGCTGGGCAGTCTAAGCTGCCTGTTTTCTGTCCTATCATAACCTTAAAAAAGAGTTGTTTGACTGGAAGACTGGGGTGTCTGGAGGCTGTAGGAGGGATCCTAATGGGGCTCGTTCATCTCTTGCTGCTGCAATTTGGCTGGAAGTTAATTCTGAGAATTAACTGTGCTGAGAAACTATGTGCATTTAGGATGCAGCATTAATTTACCGACCAGGATCAAGATGCCCTGCAGATCCAGGCAGCCCTGGGTCATTTTATTACTAATGAATACCAATTATCGTTCGTGCATGTCTGATGAACATGTTTGTGTTTTGCATTAACATATAATTTGGGCAGAGTTCTGATGTGTTCCTGTCACCTTCTGCACTCAACTGTGATTTCTTGCTGTGCCTCCACATTTCTTTTAAATTGTTTTTTTAGAGTTTGGGTTCATATGTGAGAAGCTTGGGTTGACAGCGTAAATTTGCTTGGCTCTATTTAAGCCCTATTGGATCTGGCGGGAATGGAGACCCTGTGAAGGATCTTGCATTTCCTAAAAACTTAAAACAAAATCTATAAAAATATTGCAATATAACACATTTTCTTCTACCTAGGTCTTCACCCCAGGAGGGTCTGTACTATGTGGAGGTGATCTTTAAAGGATGTGTGATTAACAACCTGACTGGGCTGGAGAAAGAGAATTATTCTTTCAAGGTAATCACCAAACAAATATAGAAGTGATGATAAAGTATTCGATGTATTGAAGGGAGTAAAACTGCAGACATTGTGTCACAGGAAATATATTAAAATAATTAAATAATAGAATGATTAATGCTGGAAGGGACATTGAAGATCCTCTTGATTCCTGCCATGGCTGGGACACCTTCTGCTAGACCAGGTTGCTTCAAGCCCTGTCCAGCCTGACCTTGGACACTTCCAGGGATGGGGCAGCCACAGCTTGTTTGGGCAACCTGTGCCAAGGTGTCACCACCCTCACAGTAAAGAATTTCTTGTTTCTATCTAGTCTAAATTTACCTCTTTTTTTCAGTTTGAAGCCATTCCTTCTTATCCTGTCAATCCAGGCTTTGTTCAAAGTCTCTCTCCAGCTCTCTTGGAGCCCCTTTAGGCACTGGAAGGGGCTCTAAAGTCTCCCATGATCTTTCTCTTCTCCAGGGGAACACCCCCAGCTCTCCCAGCCTGGCTCCAGAGAAGGGGGGCTACAGCCTATGGAACATCTCTGTGGCCTCCTCTGGATTTGCTCCTGCAGCTCCACGTCCTCCTTATATTGGGGTCCCAGAGTTTGATGTGCTACTCCAAGTGGGGTGTCATGAGAGTAGCGTAGAGAGGGAGTCACTTCCCTTAACATTTTGGTCATGATTCTCTTCTCTCTCATCTGCTGTAGATCTGGTTGCATGTCAGGACAAGAAGTTGGGATGCTCCTTGTGTCCTTTAAAACTCAGTGCATCGAGGTACTTATCAGTGGCACTGGGCAGACCAAGTCACCTAAGAGGCCTTTCTGAATGAAAAATCTGGGTCCAGGTTAATTTATCTCTGCCCTTAAGCCGCACACTTAGAAGATCCTGTTGTGTCAGAAGACCCAGTGTTGGCATCTTTTGATGTTACCCTTCAAGCTGCAGGGTGGCCACTGATGGGTGACCATGGGCACAGCTGGTTCCAGGAATGGAAATCTCTTCCCATTTAGGACAGCTGTCCACCTAAGATGAGCATGTTTTGGAAATCTCAGATCTAAGTTGTGATTTCATACCTGTTGCTCCTCCTCCAACCAGGATTTTCCCTTCAGCTCTCAGTGTCAAAGCACACTGTCTGAAGAGGTTTTGGAGTATGGTGGTATTAGACTAGTTTATGACAATGGTGTCAAGATCTGGGGTCCCCAGGACAGGAAGGACATCAACCTGTTGGAGCGAGTCCAGAGGAGGCTGCCAAGATGATCGGAGGGATGGAGCACCTCTGCTATGAGGAGAGGCTGAGAGAGTTTGGATTGTTCAACCTGGAAAAGAGAAGGCTATGGGGTGACCTAATTGTGGTCTCCCAGTATCTAAAGGGAACCTACAAGAAAGATGGAGAGAGACTATTTACAAGGGCATGTTAGAGACAGGACAAGGGGGAATTGGTTCAGACTGAAAGAGGGTAGGTTTAGATTGGATATTAGGAAGAAATTCTTGGCTGTGAGGGTGGTGAGGCCCTGGCAAAGGTTGCCCAGAGAAGCTGTGGCTACCCCATGCCTGGAAGTGTTCCAGACCAGGTTGGATGGGGCTTGGAGCAATCGGGAATAGTGGAAGGTGTCCCTGCCCATGGCAGGGGGCTGGAACGAGATGATCTTTAAGGTCCCTTCCAACCCAAACCATTCCATGATCTCACACAGAGCAGAATCCTTAACCATGACTGTGTGTTTTGGGGTGAGGCCTGGTGTCATATCCCTGAAAGTCACATCCCACCTCTGAGCTGACTGTGAGTATCGAGCAGGAGAGCCCAGCGTTCTCAGCAAATTGCACATTAAAGCTGGAGAGTCATTGGGTGTTTCAGCTGGCTTAGAGAGTTGATGAAAAATCACCAGGGGATGCTGTTAATGAGGCACATTCCAAGCTAAATAAAACACAGTGTGTCTCTTTGTTTTGGGACTGGGACCTGGGAACTATGAGAATTAAAAATTAATTTTGCCTCCACATTAGGTTGAAAAAGGCCGCTGCAGGCAGCAACAAGTCTGAGCAGCTCAGAAGACTTGTGTCAGCCAGTGGCCTCAATTTCATGCTGATTTTGGCTCCTTTTTCCACATCAGCTCTAGCCTGGGGTATGGTGTGATGTTGCCTTTGCTTCCCAGAAGTGGCCATTGCTGGAGGGAGCTGGTGGCTACTCATTCATTTTTAACGTGACCATGAGGAGGAGAGAAGGCAGAGGTTGAGCTCTGAAAGGGAATGGTTTAAGGAAAGATTGGAAAAAAACACAGTAATGCAATGGTGTCTTCAATTTGATTCAGCAAATCAGGTTTGTTGTGCTGTTTATTGGGCTGTCAGCATGCCAGGGTGGACATGGAGGGATCACAGATGAACATATCAAAAAAAAAAAAAAAAGGGCAATGGAAGGACCTGGAGCACAGGTCTGATGATGAGAGACTGAGGGAGCTGAGGGGGCTTAACTTGGAGAAAAGGAGGCTCAGGGGGAACCTTCTCATTCTCTATAACTCCCTGAAAGGAGTTTGGAGCCAGGTGGGGTCCAGCCTCCTCTCCCAATGTCCAAGACACAGGACAAGGAAATTGCCTCAAGTTGCACTGGGGGAGGCTTAGAGTGGATGTTAAGGAAAATTTCTTACCCAAAACGATCTTACCCAAACATCAGGGAAACTTGGGAGTCACCATTCCTGGAGGGATTTAAAAGATATGTAGAAGTGGCACTTGGGGACAAGGTTTAGTGGATTTGTCAGTGTTAGATTAATGGTTGTATTTAATCTTCAGGTTTTTTTTTTTTCCTCTGAGTCCAAGATATTTCTTTCCCAAAGACATATCTGTTGTACTATACTGCATTAAGATGGGCCAGTACAAGCTCGATTAATGTTCCACTGCTTTAGGGTACCAAGAAAACTTGCTAAAGGGTGGCTGAAGTATTTAATTTCTATGATAAAGAAATAACTTTTAAATATATACTCTTGGAAAGAAAAATGGTGTCATAATGTAGGATAAAATGCAGGTTTTAACTTCTAAGTATGACTTTAATACATTATAAAGTTTCTAAGTGTGTCTTCTGACATTGACCCAAGCCAGGGTAGGCAATTTGGGCACAAAAGAGGATGTAAAATTAGCAGTAACCCATACTCTGAATGGAAGTGAGGTAAGAAGGGAATATTTCTCCTTACTCCCTTCTTGGAGCAGGACTTTGCTTCAAAGATCAGATCTGAAGTGGGGATCTCTGAAATGCAGTTGCCAGCTGTGTTGTGAGTGATGCACCATCAGATCGTGTTGGAATGCACTGAAGATAATTTCCATTTAACTACAAATTTCTCTTTGCAGTTCTCTGCTGAGCAGACACCTGTGGTTTACCAAATCAATCCACCATCTGGCACCCCAGGTACAGGACCTTTCTTTATCCTGGAGCCCACTTAAAACATTATTTGATGTTCCATACTGTCTTCCTTCTTAGAAGAGGTCTGTCTTGCTGGGAATAAAATGGGCACCACCAGATTTTAATGTTTAAGCTCATTCTGGACAGGAAAATGAGTTTGTCCAAGGGGAAGAGAGTCCGCAGTACTGGGTACAAGAGTGGGGAACAAGCAGTGGCCAGATTATTTGGTACTTGGCTCCTGCAGCCCAACTCTACCTTTAGTAGAATGATGTTGTTCTGTAGATTGATAAATCTAATTATTGAGTCATCATACCCTGTTTATTTAGGAATAGTTTTAAGAAGAATTAGCAGTTAAGTGTTCATATTATAATCCCATACAGGCTTCTTGGTTAATGGGGCTTTAGATCAGACTTTAAAGTTATATGAGAAGACATTCCCTGTTTTTGGTCTGAACAATTACCTGGCATATGGAAGTGTTTTTTTTCCCTATTTCTATTAATTTTTGTATTTTCAGATTTCTTTAGAGAAAATTGAAAGTTTGATGTCCAAAGTAAAGATTAATCAAAACATTTTGGTCTCTTAAGAACACAGAGAGACACTTGTATGATGAGTTCACATAGATGCTCCTAAATCTAAATCAGTCTCTTATTTCCAATTATTTTCAGATGTAGTTCAGCTGTAGATTCTCATGTCTTGCTTTAGGGTGTCTTTACAGAGGTTTCTATGCGTTAGCTGGATGTTTGACCTCCCAGCGTAGTCAGTGAAGAGCATGAGAACAACGCTTTTTCTAGTGCTATATGAGATGTTCTGGAGCATGAAGGACCTGCATGGAGCAGGTGGAGGCAGGACTAGGAAGACTCATTCCCTTGTGGAGCCACAGTGGGAGCATAGGATCAGATAGAATTGGGTTGGAAAGGGCCTTAATGTACCTCTCATTCCAACCCCTAGTTATGGGCAGGGACACTTTCGACTATCCCAGGTTGCTCCAAGCCCCGTCCAACCTGGCCTTGGACACTCCTAGGGATGGGGTAGCCACAGCTTCTCTGAACAACCTGTGCCAGGGTCTCCCCACCCTCACAGAGAAGAATTTCTTCCTGATATCTAATCCCAAAGGTGTCTGACAGGGTGCCTCAGCTGATGTGGGACAGCCCCGTGTAGGTGACTGAGTGAAGCTCTCCCACAATGTGGTCAATGGAGTGTTGGGAGCGATTCAATTGAGCACAGATATGAGCTCCTTCTTTAGACCTTCACCCCATCTAATGTACAAGTGATGTCACTTTGATTGTCTCCTGAGGTTCTACAGTTGGAATCGGGTTAGAATGTGGTGTTTAGTTAACAAAGGAGTCGAGGAGAATGTCTTTTCAGTGCAAAGACAAGAGACCTGCTAAAAAATCGGGAATGGACTTTTTTTGGTGGGAAACAAGAACTTGTGTTTTGGCAAAAGTGCATAAATCTGAAGTCTCTTGAGCCATGGTAGAAGCTGAGAGTAGCCATCAGTGCAGGCACCTCTGTAAAATTTACAAAGACCAAGGATTCCTTTTGCTCAGCTCACAAAATCTGCAAATAAGTTCTCTGCTTTTAAAAAGGTTCTCTTCAATTTCCATTTCCTTTTTTAAACAGGAAATTTAATACAGATTTATGGGAAGACAATTGCTGGAAGATATGAGACCCTCAGCTTCAATGTGGATTATATTGATGGGTAATTATCTACAAGCAGTATCTGCCCCAGTCCCTGTAAATTGGCATTTCTTCCATCAGCCTCCTAGACAGCAATAAATTGCAACCAGTTGGCCCAGAATTGCCATTTACTTCCTTTGTGGTTTATTGCAGCTCATGAGTTGGGCTCCAGCAAACTTTGTTAATCTAATTGCAACTGGTCCATTAAGCTGGTTGGTTTGTTTACTGGCAGCACAGTCAATCACAGCTCAGTGTGAATTGCACTGTAATTGCAGCTGGTTGCTGTAGATTTTATTTTGGCTAGCAAATTAAAATTTAACTAATTAAAATAATGTCAGGATTGAAAAGTTAAATAAATTTTCCCTCTCCATTTGCATTTTTTAGAAAAAAACTATTAGTCTGAAGCAGATGCTTTGGTGAGACAGAAGACAAAGGAAAAGTATTTTGAGACAAAAGGCTTTGTTGTTCACTGCTTTAAACCCTCTCTGGGTATTTCCTTGTTTTCAAAGGTTTGATTTTGGATTTTTTGTTGTTCTGTGATCACATGCAACAGATAAAAGCAGGTAGATTTAAGAAACTCACTTCAGGACAGCAGCCCTTTAAGAACAGCAAACCCAAAGTGAGCATCAACGCTGTCCTGATGTGTATCATATGTATTTCCATATGTATATATATATTATCAAGTATTAATTTATTATTTCCTTGCACTTGTGTCAGTGAAAAACTAAGCCCAGGTGAGTATTTTATAGAAAAAACTATTAACACATAGTCACTGTGTTAGCATTTTCAGGATCATTTCAGAAGCCAGGAAAGGTGTGTATTCCCACTAGTTAGAAATTTTAATTGCAGCAGCAGATATTTAACCACTGGATGCTTTTTAATGACTTCTCAAGCTGAATGGAAGCGTCCCTTGCTAATTAATTAAATTCTCTGCCAGCATGAATGAAAGTCCAGTGCAGATTCCTGCCATACCAGCTGCTGCACCCATTTCTCAGCCCTGCAGTGCTGCACATCAGCATCCTTTGTCTGACAGTAATTATTGTTTTACCTGCCCCTGGTGAAACCTTTGCTCAGTGGGAAGAAAGGCTGCTCTGTGTGACTGCAGGCTGGACGTGCCTCATGCTCCACTGCTGGATTACTCATTTACAGCTTAACCTCACCAAAAGGAAATGGCCTCAAAATCTCAGCATTCCAGACAGGTTCCCTTTGGAGCTTCACATGAATAATTTGCCCATTTTTGGTGTGTTAGGAAATACGTACCAGGTGGGGACTTGGACTTGACCAGAGCAGTCTGTCCTTCGGTCATGCTGATTTGGGATTTGGAGCAAAAAAAAAAAGAATGGTTTTTATACTTTCAAGTGTGTTCTGCACCCTTTTCCATGCTTTGTATGGGATGCAATGGTCCAGTGATGATGAACATACTTTTGGCAGCACTGAATTTTTTTAAAGTCTTCCTTAAAAGGAAAGCTTCTCAATATCAGCCACCTGTATTAATAAAAGAAAAGTCTTTTCTTTAAACCTCATAAAACTGCACTCTGAAGAATTGGTCACAGAAAACTACACTCTGAAGGGTGGGGTCATCACAGAGTGTTTGCATAACAGGTTTTAATTACATATTTGCCTGTTCATTCTCAAAGAATTGCCCTCCTGCCTAATTCCTCCTCTTCAGCTGAAGTTGTTCCATATTGGTTCTTTAAGGTGGGGATATTTAAATTTGCCATTAGGAGCTTGGGTGATTTCTGGCAGAGACTGTGGTGTTTTTTCTCAAAAAAATAAAGAAATAGCTGAACTGTATCTTGAATTACTTACTGTGAGGGACGCTGCCTGCTGCTGCTGGATGGTAAGGGTAAGTATAGCCCTCTGGGAGCTCAGCCTTGCCTACAGGGAGGAGGTATCAGGTCATTCAGAGCTGCCTCCAAGATGTTCCTGCCACTCATGATCTTTGCAGAGGTGCAGTCCTTGCAGTATTTAGGAAATAAACTTTTCAGGTGAAGAGATAAGAGATTAATAAATGCTACATACAAGTGAGAGGAAATTCCTCTCCCGTTTGAAAATGTTAGCTGCTGAGTTTAACAGGATGGGGTCCTAATCTTTTTCATCTGTGGAGCTCCATGTTGCTTTATATCTAATTTTTCCTGTTTATTTTTTGCCAGGCCAGCTATCCTTACAGCAAATGGATGGACCAGTCTCTGCTCTTTTGCTGACAGAGAAGCGGGAAACATGTCAGTTCTTAACTTAGTTTTTGTTTATCTTGGTGCAAGGTCACAGCACAGCTTGTGCACAAAAAAAATAAATAAATTCATGGCTTTTGGAGAAACTCCTCTGCTTTGGCTTGAGGTGGAGAGAGACCCTGGGGAGAGCTGACCGTAGGATCTGTGATGGGGTGGGTGAGGGCTGCTGGCTCTCTGTAGCTCCAGCCACAGCCTGGCAGGGCCAGGGACTGTTCTCTGGCCTGGAGGTGACACTCTGTGCCCTGGCCACGTCTGTTCTCTTCAGCTCTCCAGGCTCCAAAACAAAGTAGCCATTACCAAGCTACCTATTGACCCTGGTCAGTGCATTGTCTGCAGCCCTATGTAGGCACTAATTTTAAAGGTGGATTAGCTAGTCTGAGCCTAAATTTGGCAATCAGATCTCAGGATTTAACAGCAGGGCAGACGGGCTCTGGTGCCTGGATCCCAGTACTGTTCACTGATGGGTATTAATAGAATCACAGAATGGTTTGGGTTGGAAGGAACCTGAAAGATAATCTAGTTTCAAGCCCCTGCCATGGGCAGGGACACCTTCCCCTAGACCAGGTTGCTCCAAGCCCCGTCCAATCTGGTCTTGGAGACTTCCAGGGAGAGTTCATGTACTCTTACCTTCTGTAAGTTGCATGAGACCCTTTAGGCTGCTGGGTCTTGCACCCTGTTGATTGCAGAAAAAGCCACGGGCTCTGCAGCAGTGTTTTTTTTTTATGAGTGATGCACTTCTTACAGTGCCTGTGAGCCCTGGAAAAGGAGGAGGGTACTTTAACAGGGAACCAGGGGAAAAACCTGCTCTCATGGAAGTCTGTGCTAAGGCTCCCGGGATCCTCACTGGACTCCCTTATCGCAGTGTAAAATTCCTCCTGAGAGCCAGGAGGAGAGCTTAAATGAAAATGTGAATTGGTGATGGGATTTCCAATATTCCATGACTCCAGAAGGCTGATGCAATGCCATTGTATCTGGTTTAATTGCTACCTGCTCCTTCTTACAAATTAGAGATGTGTAGAGGAGTAAGTAGAGGAGCAGCGCTTTTGTCATCCTGTCCACCCTGCCCCTGTTCCCACACTGGTCCTTACCCATTTTTTTTGTTTCAAATGGGGGTTCTGAAGGTCACCAACAGGCTCAGCTTCTGGGAATAGGTTAAAGAGGGCCAAGCTGGAGCACTGTGCTGCTGGGAGACATCCTGCTAATCTGCTGAACTCACGATCATCAGTGGGAAGATGGGTTGTTCCTCTTCCATTTCACCAGTTTCTCTTAGAACTATCTTAGAAGATGTGGGCTTATACACCCTCTGTTTAGATGATTCTCACTGTATTTTGCTCTTCTGGCTCCAAAGACTCAACAAAGTCCTTTGTCTCTCCACAGTTACCCCATTTGGGCAGAGGATGGACGGGGGACCCTGCAGTGCCGGGTGGAAGGGAACCACATAGGTTGGTGGAAAGGGGTAAAAATCGTGGGTTTCTGGCATTCCTGCAGCTCCAGAGGATAGAGCTTCTGTTCTGTCTGCAAAGAACAGGGCTCAGGGCTGAGTCCACAAAAGCAGCTTCAAATCAGGGTTTACCAGCCTTCAACACAGCCACTGCCGTGGTTTGCGTCCTCTGCACAGCCTGGGACAACACCAAGTGAAACGATGACATGATGTGGACATTGCTGACAGCAACAGTGTGATTTGGGGTCCTTGCTCAGTTTACAACTTTAATCCTTCTTATCTGTGACAGACCTTCCCTTTACTGCTTTGTGAGAGGAATAAATTGGGTGCTCCCTTGTATTTTCTCTCTAGTAGCAGGCTGGATCCCATTCATTTTTCCTCATTTCCAAACACTCTGAAGAAGCTTCTAATTTCTTGTAGAGGCTTTGAGCAGCAAGCTTCTTGTTTGGGAAAGATATTCTGAGTTAAAATATATGAAACAGACTTTCCTTACTGTTGTAAGGAAGAGGAGAATCAGGCCCAGGACACCTGGACAAGGTTTGGTAGGATGCACTCCGTGTTTTGCCATAAAGCGTGTCATACTTTTCTCTCTTCCAGGGTCCCACAACATCAGCTTCTCGGTGTTTAACAAAGGAAAGTGAGTAAAAGAAACTTTTCTCCCTTTTTCTCTGGCTTTGCATGGGGATACAGCTGCCTTGGAGTCCAGAATAAGCAAATGATGTTTTTACTGAATCAAGTGTTTCATTGTTCAGAAATGGGGTTTTGTTTTCTAGAGAAAATGATTTTCAGATTGGGAATGAAAAGGGACAGTGTTTCCCCCCAGAGCATTTACACTTCGGTGTTTTAATACTTTACTTTCAGCGTTCAAAGCATAAGACATCTTGTCTTGGACAAGGGGGAATGGCTTTAATCTGGAGGAGGGGGGGTTTCAACTTGAATATTGGGAAGAAATTCTTGGCTGTGAGGGTGGTGGCACACATTGCCCAGAGAACTTGTGACTGACCCATGCCTGGAAGTGTCCAAGGCCAGGTTTGAGCAACCTGGTGTACTAGAAGGTGTCCCTGCCCATGGCAGGGGGTTGGAACAAGACAAGATCTTTAAGGTCTCTTCCAATCCAAACCATTCTTTGATCCAATAAACCACGCTGAATGAAATTCTTTCACCTTGCTTTTAACTATTCATCCAAATGGGAAAGAATTTAGCCATAAAAGGAGGTGCAAATGGGTTCTGACGGCATCAAAACATACTTTACAATGTGTTAGTTCTATAAAAAAGTGTTTTAACAGGATAATGGGTCTCACGGGTCAATCCCTCAATGTGCTGGTGAAAGGTGTTGTTGGACCTTGTAGAAATGTCCCATTGTTCCTCTGGAGAGTGAATGGCCAGCTCTGCTTTAACTTAAATGGCCAAGGATCTCTCAGGCATTTTCTCTCTCTTGCAGGTCAGCAGTACACAAAGGTTCTTGGCTCATCAGTGCCAAACAGGAGCTTTTCCTGTATCAAACACATTCAGGTATTACAATGATCCCCCTCACTGCTGCACTGTCTTCTGGCAGTCCTGATGTGGCCCAGGAAAAGACCTCTCACTGTTACTTTTCCCGTTGTAATCCTGTTGGCAGCCTAACCTAAGAAAACCAGCCAGAGAACAGCAGTATGGCATGGTTTGGGATGATGTTGCTTTATTGTTGTTCCTTTTCCTATCAGATCAGTTTTAGACTTGAGATGTTTCATCTACAGGGACTTCTGCCTTGTAAATCACTCTGTATTTGGTGAGGTTGAGATTCTGGAAATGCAGAACTTGAGATGAGACATCTCCCACATCATCTACAAGGAGATGATAACCAGCCACTCCAAGAATTGAGTCCTAGATAAGTGATGAATGGCAGGTTACTGCACCATCAGTTTATAAAATTAATTAAGGTTCATTAAAAATAACATACATGTGACTTTTCCAGCTCTATTGTAGGCAGGAGACAATGAAATACTGAAAACCTGCTTGAGACTATGGTCATGGGCTAAGAGTGTTCAAGATTTACACGGTCAGAGAGTTATAGAACAAGGGCTAATGGGTTTGAACTTTAAAAAAAGAGAGATTTAGACTGGATGTTATGAGAAAATTGTTTACTGTGAGGGTGGTGAGGCCCTGGCAGAGGTTGCCAAGAGAAGCTGTGGCTGCCCCTGGACCCCTGGAAGTGTCCAAGGCCAGGTTGGACAGGATTTGAAATAATCTGGTCTAGTGGAAGCTGTCCCTGTCCATGGCAGGTGGTTGAAATGAGATGATCTTTAACACCCCTTCCAACCCAAACCACTGAAAGATCACTTGGTTCACCTGCACAGGTCCCCACCAAGGTCCCACCAAGTTTTTGATATTAGATTGACTGAAGCAGATGTAATAAATTCATTAATTCCTTATGGGTTGCATCTGAGAATCTTGGTTCAAGAGTTAACAAAACCTTTTTTTACTATAAAAAGTCCCATGTAGCCAATAAATGCCCATGTTTTGTATATTTTTTTATAATGCACTGCTTGTTTCATCCTTTAATTGAAAACTCTTTGTAAAGGAGGATAATTTAATGTCCTTATTTGCAAGTTGAGGCACATTAAAATGAGACAACTCTGTATGAATTTGTCTATGGGCAGAGCACAAGCAGAAAGAGCTGCCAGATGTATCCAGCAGGCTGTACTGTGCTAGCCTGTGGTCAATATTGTAAAATCAAAGTTAAGCAACAGATGAATTAACAACAAAAAAACATCACATTTTCCAGTGTGGAGGGGCAAGACTGTAACAGATAAAATCCTGAAAGAATCTTGTGGTCATGATGTGGACACTCAGATGTCAGGTGTTGAGCTCCCTCCATTTGTCCCTGAAGTCTGAGGGATGAATGTGGTAACATTTAAACCCATGGGCTAAATTGAGAAGTGAGTCGGAAGAGGTCAAAAGGATTAAAACAGTTTTAATTCCACCTTTTTTTTTTTTTTTTTTCTTCAGAGCTCCTCAATAGCACAGGATAGAGCAGTTTGCAATCTGAGCATGACAGATGCAGCCACTGCTAAGTAACAGCCCAAGCACTGTGGTGTTTCTCCTGTCATGCAGCCAAGTTCTCCGTGTTGATCATTCCTGGTGTAATCCCAGCGGCTGTCAAAGCCCCGTGAAGGATCAGTGAGATGCTGGTTTCATTCACAGGAGCTGCTCTGGCTGGAAACAGTGCAAGTGCACTGCAGGCTTTCACAGAAATAGGACTGGGGTTTAACTTCCCAATACTCGTTTTCAGATTCCCTTTTTCCTTGCCCTGCAGAGATAGCCTCCGTGTTCCCAGCTGGAGGGAGCCTTGGAGGGGGCACTGATCTCACTGTCACAGGGGATTTCTTTGAGGAACCGGTGCAGGTCACTGCTGCAGGTGAGAGAAATATGAAATACTTGTTTTTCAATACAGTGATCATGGCCCTGAGCACAAAACCCAAGGGATGTTTAGTGATAACAGTGTAGAAGTTGTAGGAATCACCTTCAGGAAGCTCCAGTTATTCTGACTGTGGGCGTGAACTGTTTTGCTTGCTGGTAGTACCAGCCCAGGCTTCTAGGGGATTGTTAATACCATTTAGAGACAAGGTTGAGGCAGGGTATTCTGTCCCTTTCCTTCAGTCTTGTGCCCCCACCCAGAATAGAACATCCAGCTCAGGAGTCCTTAACACATGAAAAAGTAGGCCATGGAGATGCTCCGAGGGCTGGAGCCCCTCTGCTCTGGAGCCAGGCTGGGAGAGCTGGAGGTGTTCACCTGGAGAAGGATCCAGGGAGACCTGAGAGCCCCTTCCAGTGCCATAAGGGGCTCCAGGAGAGCTGGAGAGGGACTTGGGACAAGGGATGGAGGGACAGGACAAGGGGGAATGGCTTCCCACTGCCAGAGGGCAGGGATAGATGGGATATTGGGAAGAAATCTTTTTACAATGAGGGTGGTGAGGCCCTGGCACAGGTTGCCCAGAGAAACTGTGGCTGCCCCATTCCTGGAGGTGTTTGAGGCCCAGGTTGAATGGGACTTCAAGGAACCTGATCTCATTGAAGATGTCACTGTCCATGGCAGGGAGTTGGACTATATGATCTCTGAAGGTCCTTTCCCACCCAAACCATTCTATGATTCTAGGATGGGGTCATGCTGCAGCTCAGCTGTGTTTCCAGGTCTCACACAGCACATTTGTCTCCTTTTCCTGCTCGCAGGTGTCCCCTGTAAAGTCAAGCACGTCTCTCCCCAGCAAATCAGATGCACCACTGAGCCTGTAGGCAAGAACAGGAGAACTGGTGCCCCCCAGCCAGGTATGGTGTCCAAATAACTGAAGGTCCGAACAAGCAAACACACATGGAAATGCAGGGCAAAAATCATTTGGTGATGAATGCAGTCAAGAAACAGAGCTTTCCAAAACACTACCTGCTTCAACATTAGACCAGTTTCTTCATGGTTTGACAGGGAAAGGGACTACAAAGCGAGCAAAGGGCTGGGACTCCTCTTCTATGAAGAAAGACTGATGAGAGAGCTGGGGTTGTTCAACCTGGAGAAGAGTAGGTTCTGGGGATACCTGAGAGCCTCTTCCAGTGCCTAAAGGGGACTTACAAGAATGACGGGGATAAACTTTTAGTAGGGACTGTAGTGACAGCACAGAGAGTGATGGTTTTAAACGAAAAGGGAGTCGATTTAAATTAGGTCTAAGTTATTTTTTACAATGAGAGTGGTGAGACCCTGGCACAGGTTGCCTAGGGAAATGGTGGCCTCACTCCTGGAAAACATTCAAGGCGAGTTTGGATGGAGCACTGAGCAACCTGATTGAGTTGTAGATGTCCCTGCTCATTTCAGAGGGGTTGGGCTAAATAACCTTTACTGGTCCCTTCCAACCCAACCCATTCTATGATTCTATAGTCAGGAAAAGCAGGGTGGAGAGCTCAGCCCACCACATGCAGACAGGTGATAGTGGGAGGAAGGTCAGACTGGTGTGTAGGGTTGTGGAAAATGTGGGGAAAAAACTGTGGATAATATTTAGAGGAGGGATAGATGAACTAGAGCTATTGCAGAGGTTTTTGGGGATGCTGCTTGAGTGGAGCACTGCAGTAGAAAATTATTGTGCATAAGATGAGATTTACCTAATTTTGGCAGTGGGTCATCTCAGTACCTTTTCCTGCAAGAGCAGACATGGGAGCTGGTTGGATGCTCTGCTCTCTGCAGATTTTTGTTGTTTCTGGTGGAGGATTTCAAGGCAGAACAAATTCCCCAAAGCAAGATCTGTGTTCTGCCTTAGACTGCAAAATAGCCCACAAACAGAGCCAATTTATTATTAAAATTTTCTCTCTGGCCTGCCTCCTACACCACTGATTCCAGCATGTGCTCTGGGATTTCTGTTGGCTGCTGCTCAGAGTACTTTTGTTTTAACTTTCTAGGAAACAGAGGGCTTCTCTTTGAAGTCTGGGATGATGCCTCTGATCTGACAGAAGCAGGTCCTGGATACAGATGGCAGTTTGTACCTAATGCCAGCTCCCCAGTAAGGTTCCTGTCTGAGGCAAAGAAGTCCTTCAGGTACTCAGTGATCTTAAAAAGCTATGAAACCATGGCAATCACCTTTAGCAGTGTAAGGTGCAGCAAAAACACCTGACAGCCCTTTATAGCAGAGCCTCACTGCACAGCTCCTGTGAATCAAAGCAAACCCTTTGCTCTGAGAGTCCTTTTGAAGATTAAAATATGCAGTGAACTGTTTTATTTTTTCCTCCTTTTGCTTTCCCGCAGTATTTCTGCTCTACCTGGCCTACGTGTGCTGAAATACCACAAAAGAAATTGCTGTGGAGGTAGAAGGAGCTCCAGCTTGAGGCTGTTTTGGGCTGGAGTTCCAGCCAGATGTGGAGGGGCAGATTCTCAGCTGATTTTGGCAGCTGCAGCACACGTGGAGTTAATGGAAATCAAGTTATTTGCTCCAAGCTGTGGAAATATCTAAACTGCATTGGTGTCATTGCCTCTTCAGATAGACCATTGAAAAAATGTGCAGTGTACATGAATTCTTATTTTTGCTTACCACTTCTCTGTTTTTCTTGGTTGATTCTGAATGTGTTCTTGGCTTTTTCCTCCCTGTTTGAGGTTAAGACTTTACTTGAGAAGAAATACCCAAAAAAGTGACCACCAACAGAAACATACTTAATTTCTTGGAGCTGGTTTTTTTTCTAGCCTTTTGGAAAAATTTTGTAAAAAATAAATTAAATTTAGTGTGACATTGAGTCTTTTTGAGGTTTCTTCAATTATAAAATATGTGGGTTTGTTTTGTTGGTCTCATGATGTTTCCTTGTTACTTGGTGTACACCTGAAGGTGCGATGAGAGGATGGGGGTTTTTCTTGCTATGTTATGGATGTTCTCCTTTTGCTTAGTTCCAGGCTTCATGGATTTTTTGTGGCTCCTCAGACCAACAATTATACCTTCTGGATTCAGGCAGACAGTCAAGCATCTCTCTACTTAAGTTTGTCCCAAGATCCAGAACATAAGGTATTACTCTGGGCAGAGAAAAATGAGACCAGGATGAAAGTGGTTTTAACTAAGGTCATAAAAAACTGGGAATTTGCTTATTCATCCTTATGAATCTATTGCAGAGTGAAATTTGTGTGATTATTTTTGATGTTTTACATCAGGTCTGCCAGCTGTTCAGCTCATAAATAACTTTTGCTTGCAACCAGAGTCACTGATTGGTTTTTCTGAGAAGACCTTTTTTTTTTTTTTTTTTTAAGTTCAGCAAATTTCAGTCACTAACAGTCTGTGCAAGAGGGTCCTGGAGGTTTGTTCTCTGATTTCTTCAGTTTACCTTCTTTTTTGATTGTTGAAATATTGCCCTCTGAAAACACTGATCCTTGCCTTTGGGAAGTTGAGAGGATGCTATAATGAAGGTGATCTATTTATCTGGGCTATTCTTGAGCCCAGCAACTGAACAGGTCCAGAAGAAACATAGAAGACTTTTTATCTATTAAAAAAATAATAACATTACTGGTCTTACTAATGGTAGCATATTACATAGAATCCTAGAATGATTTGTGTTGGAAGGGACCTTAAGGTCATCTTCTTCCAACGCCCTGCCATGGACAGGGACAACGTCCAATAGACCAGAGCTCCATCCAACCTGGCCTTGAACAGTTTCAGGGATGGGGCAATGACAGGTCCTCTGGGTAACCTGTGCCAGGGCCTCTACACCCTCACAGGCAAGAATGTCTTCCTAATATCCAATATAAACTTATCGTCTTTCAATTTGAAGCCACTAAATCGGTGACATTGCAGCAACCTGGTCTACTGGAAGGTGTCCCTGCCCATGGCAGGGAGTTGGAAGGAGATGATCTTTTAGGTCCCTTCCAACCCAAACCATTGTGTGACTCTGATTTGGTTCTTCTGCACACAGGTGAGAATTGCTTCTCTCCCTGCTGGCAATTCAGAGTGGTCTGAGAACTGGGCGAAGAACTGGAGTGAAATTTGGCAGCCAAAATCCCAGAAATTTGAGCTGACTGCTGGTTCCAGGTACTACCTGGAAGCACTACATCATGGCAAGACACCCAGCAGTGGGATGAGAATTGGAGTCCAGATACATAACACGTGGCTGAACCCCCATGTGATGAACAGCTACTTCATCGAGAGACATGAAATTCGGGCTCGTGCTTTGCATCTTCCAGAAGTGCAGGTCAGTGCTGTGTTCTTGACCCTGATAGCTGGGCTGGCCCTCATCCAAATGTCCTGGGTGGCAGCAAATCCTAATTGTAAAGTCTGTGCTTATGCTTGATGTGAAAGTGTGTTCCCACCTTGCTTTTAACCTTCTGAGAAGAGCATCATGAGCTGCAGTTGTTCAGGGTTTTTACACACGTTGGTGTACATTTTTTGACACGTTGGTAGGTGCATGTAAACCCTCAGCAATGAGGGAAATTTTTCTTGGTGCTTAAACCCCACAGCTGCAGCTCAGGATCTTAAGGAACTGTTTGTGCCTGTCAGTGTGTCTGCACAGGTCATGTATCCCTTGTGATCCTGATAATTTAAGAATTTAGATTTAGAATTCAGGTTTGTGTCAGTAGAGACCATGGAGGACAAGAACAGTTTCAGAGTAGCTGAAGTATCTCTTGGAAGGAATTCTTGTTTCACACATGCTTAAAAATTCAAAATGTGTGCCATGTAATCCTCCTTGGTAGAAGAAGCCAGATTTGAAACGTGTCTCATGAAATTTGTGACTGTTTTCGCTTATTTCTTTGCTTCTTTGCTTGCCAGATGTTGACTGTGTCTGGTACAGGGTGTTTCAGTATCTCCTGGAATAACACACGGCACAAAATGATCTCCACAAATGCTACAGCTCACCAGGTAGGTGCCATCAAACACACACATTTGGTCCTCTGCTGGGGTGTAACCAGTGGAGATTTGGTTCTTGACAGCATTTAAGTGTTTGGCCCCAAAGCTGAGATAAACTTTACATGATTTAAGGGTGATTTTTTTTTACTGAGAATGTCTCACAGTGAGATTTTCTGGGGGGAGTTTGAGTCCCAGCTGTATTCTAAGCATATCACAGCATCTCTTGGAATTCCCTTGAACTGGACTCTTGGACTTCTCCTCTAAGGTCAGGTGTAGAGTGAACAGCTCTGGCTTCAGACAGGATCTCTTACTTGATCTTGATGTGGTAGCTGGTCAGTATTATAGCAACCCTGGGTGAGGGCTCCATGACAGTCAGTAGGCTGAGGATGCCTCACACCCCTGAAAGGTACCAGACACGGGAGTTTACGCTCTGCTGAGCTGAATTTTATTCTTTTATTCTTATATATTTTTATTCTTTTAATATTTGGCTGCCTGCTCATTCAGAGCTGCTGTGCCACTTGCTAGTGAAAAATGGGGTGATGGTGTGTGTGTTGAGGCTCTCTGATGACATGATCCAGAAACCAGTGGGTTGTGACTGCTTTTCACTTTCTTAATTTCTTTTTAAGGTGCAAACAGCAATAGAGGAACTTCTTTCAGTAGGATGTGAAACTGAGCCAACTTCTGCTAAAATTCTTTTCCGCAATGGTTTTGAGAAAGAAGGTAGTGATTTTTTTATTGCAACTAAGCGGTATTATGTAATTTAAGGGGTATAAGTATATATATTTATGTTTCTCAGCTATTCATTATTTGTATTTATTCTCATGGGGGAGTTTATGGAACTAGCATTAAAAACAACACAATCAATAGAACAATCACAGTCATAGAATGCCCTGAGTTACAAGGAACCCCCAAGGATCATTGAGTCCAACTCCTGGCCCTGCACAGGACAACCCCAAGAATCACGTCACGTACCTGAAAGTGTTGTCCAAACCCTTCTTGAATTCTGGCAGGAGAATGCTTAGAGTAGGACTGTTTGCCAATTTTTGGATATCCACTTTCTGTATTTTCATGAATCTCTTGGTTGTACTGGTATTTTCTGAATCACTTTCAAACATTCCATTTCCTTTTGGTTTTTTTTTTTTTTAATCTCTTTCAGATACAAAGAACATCATTACCACAGGAAGCACTGTCAGTGGAACGGAGCCTTTCTGTGGGAGGTTCAGTGTTCACAGACCAAGCCAGCTGGTGAAAACCTCCCCATCAACACTACCAAGATATGACCTTACTGAATATACACACGTAAGTGGCTGCTCTAAATGAGTAGGTTGCACTGGGGACTGAATACTCAGTGCCCAAGCAGCACTTAAAATTTTCTATCTGGTCTGCTTAGAATTCCCTCAGATCTACCAAGAATTGTGTCTTTGGACTGTGCTGGTGGCCAGGGTGTCTTTTCACTGACTGGGGTGGGTGGTTTGAGATCCCTGAGATGTTGATGTTGTTAAACACATTTGGCTGCTCTCTGCTCCTAGGGATGCAACTCCTAATGAGGGAAAGGAAAAAGTGGGATGATGTTGGGGAAAGACGAGAGAAGTAGGGATGACCAGTTCTTGACAAAAGAAGAAAACCCTTGTTATCTGGGGTCCACTATCGCTCACTTTTCTACTCATCTTCTGCTTTTAATATGAATAAGGGCTTGGTTTCAATCTGTTGCCCTTTCTTTGCCGCTTGGGGGAAGGCAAATAGGCAGATCCTGAACACTTCCAGGGATGGGAAACCCATGGCTTCTTTGGGCAACTTGTGCTAGCACCTCACTACCCTCTCAGAGAAGAAATTCTTTCTAATATCCAAGCTAAATCTATTACCTTTCAGTCTGAAGCCCTTCCCCTTTGTCCTCTCGCTCCATACTCTTGTCTGAAGTCCCTCTCCAGATCTCTTGGAGACTCTTCAGGCACTGGAAGGGATTCTAAGGTCTCCCTGGGGTCTTTTCTGCTGCAGTCTGAACAAACCAATGTTAAACTGGGTTTGAAACAGAATATACTACCTTCTACATACATCACATATATAAATGATATATAAATTACCGGTGGTTTGATTTGCAAAAATTTTATTCCCTCATTTTTTGCAGGTGTGTTTTGCTCACAAAGGCCATATGAGTAACGTCCTTCTTATCTCTGTGTCCTACACTAATGTCTCTTCATGTTCAGTGACGAAGAACTTCACTTGCCTATGGGATTTCAATCACACTGAATCTAGAAGGTATCAAGACAGTTATGGTTTCTAGAGTTTACACTTTCCATACTAAGGGGCTGCACTGGGGAAGTTCTCATCTGTACAGGAACAAATTGTCAGTGGGGGTAAGCTGACATGTGCTCTTACCTGCAAAGGCACCCCTGGAATATGATTCCATGCTTTATGAGGATTTACTGAGTAAAGTTCCATGTTCCTTGTCACATATAGTATCTTACCTTAGTAATACACAGATGAAGAGTTTGTTCTGTTTGTGGTAAACGCACCAGAAAGTTTCTGAGGACAATAATTTCCCAGGTTCTTTGACCTCAGACAGTGGATTTTCTGCAGTGAAACAGGGAGATAAATTCATTGTGTTTTTTTTCCCTGCCAGGAACCTGATGAGATCATTGGTACACAATGTTTTAGAAATAGGTGTAGGCTTTGATTTTCTTTATTCACTTCAAATTCCATGGGTGGAAAACATTTGGTAGTAGATGCAAAGTTTGAGACAGGTACACTTAAAAAACATCAGGAGTGTCAGAAGAACTTGGTGGAGAGAACTGGGAGCCTTTAGCAGTGGTCTCTTATTCCCAAGGGTGCCAATTCTGGATTGACCCCATTGAGATCACTGATGCTATCCCAGTATTTTGCCAAATTGGAGAAGACAGTAATTCTCACACCCCACTCTTGTGATGTAGAAAAGGATCCATAAGCAGAGACCTGTGAGGGTGTTGAGGCACTGAGACAGAGAAGCTGTGGCTGTCCCATTTCTGAAAGTGTTCGAGGCCAGGCTAGATGGAGCAACCTGGGATAGTGGAAGGTATCCCTGCCTATGACATGGGGTTGGAACTGGTTGATCTTTGAGGCTCCTTCCAGCCCAAACCATTCTGTGATTCTGTGGTTTAAAACCTTGTTTCTCATCAGAGACGTGTAAAGAGTGATCACAAGCTACTCAGTAAGTGACTTCTGTATGAGTAAATAACAGTTGTAACAACAGTAGTACCTGATGTTACCTGGAAGCTTCAGAGTGACCTCAAATTCAGTTATTGCCACGACTTTGGTGTCTTCCAGATGGACATTCACCTGCACTGACCTCTGGAAGAGATGTGTGAATCTCTCCACGCTTGTCCAGGACCTCCCTGCCGGTTCCCCCGTGTTTGTACATGGGATAGACTTGCAGAAGGAAACATCTGGGTCATTTTACCTTGATGAAGTCATCATTGCTGACAGAACTGTGACTGGTAAAGGAATCTATTTCTCTCCTTTTTTTTTTTTTTTTTTCCTCCCCAGAATATTCCATTAAAATACATAATGATAAAGCTGGAGGAAGCTCTTTCAAAGAGGGATTTCCCAACAGGCACAAAAATAATTTTGTTTTCTTTTATATTACACTTGTTTGTTTCTTTCTTTGGTGTTTTTTGTTTGTTTGTTTGTGGGGTTTTTTGTTTGTTTTTGGGGTTTTTTGTTTGTTTGTTTGTTTGTTTTATGATAGCAGTCAAGAAGGAATTGCCAAATACCAGTATTCTTGGTTTATTTGGAAATATGTTATACAAATGGTACAGGCTGCCCAGGGCAGTGGTGGAGTACCCATCCCTGTAGGGATTTCAAAGATGTGTAGATGTGGCACTTAGGGACATGGTTTAGTGGTGGGTTTGGCAGTGCTGGGGAAACAACTGGACGGTGATCTTAGGGGGCTTTTCAATCTCAAGTGATTCTGTGATTCTAGGAAATGTAACTCATCAAAACAAATCGAAAATAAACACCCAAGAAGGTGTGATCCCAGCTATGAAATGACAGTAACCTGGGCATAGTCACAGCTGCTCTCCTTGCTCTAATGAATGCTTGTGCTCTTCTTCCAGTTTCTCAGAGGGATCCCAAGCCCCCTCAACCAGGTGGGAAGATGATTGAATCAGTATCTGTGGTGGGGTCTCCTCCAACTTACAACGTGTCCTGGGTGGTGTCTGGCTGCGGTCCAAGCCTACCTCTTCTCTCTCCAAGGTAGGGACAGTGAGTGGCTCGTCTCAACACCCTCAAATACCACTGGCACTTCCCCCAACATGTCTGGACCTGGTTGTCAGCTGGATTCAGCTTCTGAAAAAGAGTTTTTTAGATGTTTCAGCTGATCTGTGGTGTAAGATGCACATGGGCCACTAAGGTATGATGTAGGACTAGAAGGAGACTTAAAGCCTTCTGGAGTAGCGGATGAAGATCAGAAAGACATGCTCCCAAACACCTTTAATGACATCAGGCAATGAAAGCCCACCTTGTATGTCCTTGTTTACTGAGATGGTTTCTAATCCTCTCAGCAATGAAAGAGGAATCAGAGCTACAGGCAAACTAGATCAGAGAGTGCAACATTAAAGAACTGTACTGGCAGAAAATAGGTCCTGTAAAGTTGGATTGTATCCAGCTGAGTCAACAAGGACCTGATGGGAATGGAGCCAGGCAAGAAAGAAGCTGGAATTATGCAGCCTGCTCTCTGCAGGGCCAGCTGTTACCTTGGCTCAGCTTCTCCACTCAAACTAACTTGCCCAGTCACCCACAGGAAACCTCCTTCCTGAAGAAGATAAACCTCAGCCAGCTGTCAGTTAATTTGGTTTCTTACCTTGTGGTCTGTTTTCTTCCAAGCTAATTCAAAGCAATGTGTCATCGGTTTTAAGTGCTCCAAAGACAGCTGGATTTTTCTTTAAGAGGTGGCTAAGTTCTGAAAACAGTTAGGTCTGCTTCCTAGAGCAGCCAAGTTCTTGTATTTCCTGATGAAATCCAGGGCTTTGGTGAATTCACCTGTTGGATTTCAGAGACATAGGCAGAGTCAGCACAAAGGAAAACCGATGCAATCCAGCTTTTTGGTGTAAAAGTCTTTTGGTGTAACAGTTAAACCCCAGATCAGGCCCAGCTGTTTTGTAGAAGTCAGCTTAGGGAGCACATCATAGAAGGATTTGATATGGGAAAGTCTCTCCTTTAAAATCACATTTAATTGCCTGTGTCAAATGTAATATTTTGACATTAATCAACAACAATAAAGGCAAAGGTGAGAATACAGGGGGATGTCTGTGATACTTGATTTGTGCAGCCAGAGGTATAACTAACAGAAAGAGGGGAAATAGTTACTCCTGTCTGGAATATTTAAGGAGACTCACTTTGGAATGCTGCATACAACACTGATGCCCACATTTTAAAAATGGATTTAGAGAAACTTGGGAAAAAAAATGCCATGAACATCATTATGGAGCTGCAGAAAATGGAGAGAAAAATTTAAGAAGCTCAACATGTTCAGCTTATAAAAAGAGGATTAAGAGTTGGATTGACCACATTACCTCTCACCAGGAAAAAAAAAAAAAAAGGTGCTTGGCACTAGTGAGATTTTCCATCTCCCTGAGGAAGATAATAGACAAAGCAGAGAAGTAGAGAATGCTGAAGCCAGGAATACTGAGAACTGGAATTAGCACATGCTTTAAAAACGGGTGGGTTGAGCACTGTCTTTGGACATCTTCAAAACAAACCTATGTCTTTCTCTTCGCTGAACATGGGTTGTGATTTATTCTAATGCAACTCCTGTTCCTGGTGGAACAGGAATATTGGCTAAAATCTGAGGTACCAACTCTACAAAATGCTCAGTGATTGTAATCTCAAAATTTGCTCTGCAGAAGCCAGTTGTCATCCGGACACTGAGCCACATGGTGGCATTGTTGTACCACAGAGAGGCTCCCTCTCCTTTGAAAAAAGAGAAATTTCGTGGTGAAGGAGAAAGTATTTGCAGTTTTAGAAACTGGACTTTGGGTGAACTTGAATTACTCTAATACAGATGTGGTGTTTGGGGACATGGTTTAGTGGTGGGCCTGGCAATGCTGGGTTAACAATTGGTCTAGATGATCTCGGGGGTATTTTCCAACCTTAATGATTCTATGATTCTGCAATATGAAATATCCCTGTAATTCAGGGGAGTTAAGATTTTGATAGACTCGAGGGCATTGCAGGGTGAAGTAGGAAAGCTTTGATTTTTGTAGATGCCGCCCTGGCTGCACTGAGCTGGTCCTTTAGAAACACCACTGGGGTAGGACCTGCTTGATGGTGTATAAATTTCTTCTGTCATAATTTTAAAAAGTCACTTCCCACAATTTTCTGTCGTGTGCATTGGCTGCATAATGTAGACATAAGTTGGGAATATCCAATTTTGTTTGAGCTCTGGAAATGTTCCCCTTAGACCCTTCAGGAGTGTCGCTCCCATAGGTGTCCCTTGGCTATTGGGTGATATGGGGGTGACAGGAGTGGGGGTCTCAGCTGCTGATGCCTTCATGTGAACCCTCTCTGTCCCGCAGAGGTGCATTACTTGGGGAGGGCTCTGAGGAGTACGGACACCTCTCTGTCTCCACGGAGGATGTGAGAGTCAGCCTTACCATCCAGAGACTGCAGAAGTCATCCCCACCCCTTGGAGGGACCTTCCACATCCGCTTGGCCAGTACAGTGATACCAGGTAAAAGAAGATGCAAGTCCATCTGGATTTCCTTAGCAGGGAGCCAAGTGAAGAAGTAAGAGCCAGAGAAGCCTCAACCCTGGAAGCGTTCAAGGCCAGGTTTGGTGGGGATTGGAGCAATCTGGGATAGTGGAAGGTGTCCCTCAGTGGGGTTGGAACAAGATGATCTTTAAGGTCCCTTCCAACCCAAACCACTCTGTGATTCCATGAAAAGACAATATTGAACCTTGGACATGCTCAGGGTACAGACTGGCAGGTTATACCCCTCATGGAATTTGCCAGATCTTTGCATCTGATGTCCTTCAAGAGAGAAGTTTAGTATTATAGACAGGACAGTATTCCTAGATGAGTTTCTTCCAAAATCCATACAGCCAATATGAAATATCTGCCTTAATCTTAAAGAACTTTGGATCACATCCCAAAATTTGCACCCCAAGGTTTCATTACGCTGGCTTTTCTCCAGCATGTGTACTTTTGGTGGTCACGTGTGACAAGAGCTGCGCAGGTTACCAGGAAATTCCTTGTTTTCCAGGATTTTCAGGATCAGTAATTGGTTTGCAGGCAACACAGAAGTTTTTGTACAAGTTTTGTGCTTGACCTGGATTGGCCACGCTTTAGATGTGCCAGGTTTCCTTGTGTTTGGTTTAAGCAATCAGAGGCTTAAAATGAAAAGGAGCAGATTAATCTGAGCAAGGCCAATGATAAAGTTCTTGACTGAGGAACTGGTGACTCAGTTATAAAGTCAAATAACAAAAGAGAAAATGCAGCCTTAGAATATTTATGAAATAACTTTTTCCTCCATGTTTTTACTTAAGATTTTCCTCTCTTAACTGAAGATTGTCTCAGAAGTGCCTTGCTTTGAACATAATGTTTTTAAAATGTACTCCGTGCCTCTTGCTCTCTTTCTTACGAATTGGTTTAGAGAGATTTATTGTATCTGCAACTTTGAATGGCTACGTCAAAAGAGATAAAACATCATTTGTGTTTATTTAGGATTGGACTCTACCTGTGGAGCTGACAGGCTGACTCTCTCCACACCCATTTCATATAGAAAGTTTCTGACCTTTCTGTTTTGAAGGAAAATTACTTGCACACCAATACTTCATGTGTCCATATTGCGTAAAAGTACTAAAATTTCTGATGCCCCCAACTGGAGAGGCTCCTATAATTTTCTAGATCTTCAGATTAGATATAGGAAAGAAATTTTTTATGATGAGGGTGGTGGGGCACTGGCACAGGTTCCCAGAGAGATGGTGGATGCCCCATCCCTGGAAACATTCAAGACCAGGTTGGATGGGGCTTTGAGCAACCTGGTCAAGGATTTATTGTGGGAGGGTTGGACTAGATGGCCTTTAAGGTCCCTTCCAACCCAAACCTATGTTTCAATTCTATAATTCTATCATCTTTTGGCATTTAGGGTCCAATAAGTTTCTGCTGCTTTTTGGCAGTTTCAAAGCTTTGAACCACAACAGCCTTGCATTAAAAATTAAACATCTTTCTTTTCTGGGAGCTGGCAGGTGTGCTCCCCCAGGGATGATGATATTTCTGCTTTCTGATGTCCCTTGCAGATGTTTCGGTGCACATCTCCTCCCACCACCTCCGCAAGCTTTTGCAGGACAACGTAGACAACTCTACCGCTCCCTACTTCAACACAAGTGACTTCATCGTGACCAAGGACTTGAACTCGTGCTATGAAAAAGTCTGGACTCTGACTTGGAAAAAGGCAACTGGGGACTTGCCCAATGTTCTCAGTGTACAGTAATTTCTTTCACTAACCCCCACTTTGAACCCTGTTCAATATTCTTTGGCCTTGGGTGATTCACTCTCCCAGTGGTTCTTTTTACGAAGACACCTGTGGGAACTTGGGCAATCTCTCTATTTGGAAGAGCGAATTCCAGATTAGATGATTAAAAAAAAACCAGTTCCAGGGAAAGAAGTTGCATCTTCAAGAGTCTGTGCTTCAAAACAAGGAGGATGGAGTGTAATTTCCAGGCTTTATTTTGCAGTTCTGCAAAGAGTCTGCCATACTGAAATGAAATCTATTACCAAAACATTAATCTTTCAGTGCAGTAACTGGAGCTCATCACAGATTTGTGGCATCATTTATTGACCAAGGTCTTTTTCTAGAGAATTATCCTACATGGGTTCATATCTGGTCCTCATAAGTCTCAGATGAAGGTTCAGTTTACATTCTCTCATCCCAAGATTTGTCATGTTAGTTTTGCTTCAGGTAGAAGGATCTTTTAGAATAAGGACTCAGACTGAGCTGCTTCCTCCCCCAAAAGAAAAAACTATTTCTTTATATATTCAGTTTCTAAGAGTATCAGATTATTTTTTCAGCAAATCAGTAAGTTCCTGTTCTCAAGACATTGGCCTAGAGGGTGAAAAGGGTTTGAGTTACATATTAAGCTGTAGCATAGATCTTTGTTTCACTCAAAGGCACATCTTTGAGAAGCTCTTTGCATGCCTAATTCCAAATGGTATTACTAAATATTAGAAGTTTATTTGCTAATCTGTCTCCTCAGTTTGCAATCTCTTTGTCTGCAAGGTGAAGGTGGGAACAGAGAGAAGTAAAGTCTTGAGTAATGAAGATTTAGACCTGATGATTTGATTCATGGACAGAGCCTGAGAAGAAGTTTCCATGAGCTATTTGCCACTTTGTAAAGATTCTGTTTTAACTGAAAATTACAGGACAGAAAAGGATGAGAAACTTAAATTCCTTGTTTTTTTGCCAGGTCTCTGCCAAAAACCTCACTGGTCTGAAGGCAACTGTTTCTACTCGTGTGGTTTATGATGGGGGTGTGTTTATTGGACCCATATTTGGGGACATGCTTGCTACCCCCAATAACAAAACACAGGTGAGTTGATGTGCTGTCACACTTTCTACTGATTCACCTGGGTTGTGTAGATCCAAGAGTCTCACAGGTATTTGGGTACCTTGTTCTGCCACTAAATCCTTCCAGAAATATGATGTTCTGTGCCATAAACTCCTCGTATTCTGCTGTCTGGTATGCGGAGCAGGACTTTCCTCCAGGAGCAATTGCAGGTGGGGAGAATGGTGATCGTGGGTGATGGAAGACAATTTGTTTATTTTGAGGCAGTGACCAAGGCAGGACAATCTCTGGACTCCCACCCTTGGTGGGTCCTCTGGTGCTGCCCACCAGACTGGGAACGCCACTGTTCATCTGCAGCATTTCTGCTGTTACACTGATGGGCAAAACAAATGAGCTGGTGGCTGTGGTACCCATCTGTGAGTTAGGCAAGTCCCTCAGCCTCTGTGGATCTCAGTTCTTCAAGTGTGAGAAGAGAGTAAGGAGGGCTTCCTGGCTGAATGAGTAACCATTCTGGCTTGCTGTGTTCCCAGCTCTGCTCTCAAATGTTGCAGAGCAGTGGGTATTGCTGGCTCTGCTTCCAGCAAAGGCTGACAGGCACTGTAGTGATAACAGGGTGATGCTGGATGTGCTTGAAGCCCAAAGTGGGGCCAGATCATTGGGCTTTTTTGGTGATCCTGTTTCCTAGACATGAGTATCTCTCTTCATCCAGTGATTCAGCCACCTATGATATCTTTTCCATCTGTGCTGCACACATACCCTCAAATAGCCCCAGTGAAACAAGACCAGCAGCAGCAAACAGATATCCTTGTAATTTTTGAAACTTTATTCTGTATTGCTGCTAGCACAACCATAAAAGTGTCCCTCTAAATGTGCCCCTACTCAAGCAGAGTGCTTTGCAACCCTGTGCTCCTTGCATTTCTTTGAGACAGTCTGCTTTTGATTTTTGTAGGCATTGGTGTACTCTCCTGGCACATCCCTAATACCTGGACAGAGATAAAGAGGGGGTCTCCTATGCCCTATACTTTACCAGCTGACTCTTCTGAGATATCAAGGTCTCAGGAGAGATATCTCTTGATATCTTTTAGATAACCAAGGTCACAGCCCAGCTTTCTTCCTTCAGGGGCAAAGAATAAAATTGAGGGCTGCATGCTGAGAAAACACTTTGTAGGATTCATTTTAATTAGTCTTACAGGTTGTTTTAAACATAATAAACTTGTTCCTAAGGCAAAGTGGGAAGAACTGGGGAAAGGCAAGCCGGGTCTTCAATAGATGACTAGAAGAAGAGGAGTTGTGAGATCCCAGCAACGTGGGAGATAAAATCCTGCAGACACCACGAAAGGCTGATCATACAGTGTCCAAAGCTGTGATTTGCTTTGGCTTGGATGAGCCCTAATAAGCTTTGCAATTAAATTTGTAATGAAGCTGCAGCTGTCTGACTGTACTTGGCTGAATGCTCTTGGGAGCTCAGTGTGGTTACCAGCATCTATCAGGTAGTTGTGGCTCTAGAAAACACCTCTGTTTCCTTCCGAGCTTTAAGGTAACCCTCCTCTCTGTCTCCAGGTGGTGGTGGTGGTGAATGATGTCCTTTCAAACTGTTCTGGCTCGTGCTCTTTCCTGTTCAGCCAGGAATTGACACCCACAGTCAGTGATGTGGAGTATTTATCAGGTAACAGAGCTTTGTGTCTGAACAAAATGACAAAAATCCACTGTTCTGTGAAAAATATCTGCTAGATGATGGTTTCATGTGTATGTGCATTCTTTTTTTGAAATTTCTGTTTTTATGGAAACTGCATTTTTAATGGGTCACTTCCGATCAGCATCATTTCCAGATGTGTTAAGTGTATCCAGAGTAGGGCAATGGAGCTGGGGAAGGGTCTGGAGCACAAGTCTGATGAGGAGCAGATCAGGGGTCTGTGGGTGTTCAGCTTGGAGGAAAGGAGACTCAGGGGAGACCTATGGCTCTCTACAGCTCCCTGACAGGAGGTTGAAGCCAGGTGTGGATCGGTCTCTTCTTCCAATTAATAAGCAATAGCATAAGAGGAGATGGTATCAAGTTTCATTAGAAGAGGTTTAGAATGGGTATCAGGAAAAATGTCTTCATTGAAGGGGTAATCAAGCACTGGAACAGCCTGCCCAGGGGAGTGATGGAAGCATCCTCCCTGGAAAGACTCCAAAAGGCATGTGGATGTGGCATTTGGGGACATGGTTTAGTGGTGAACACAAGAGGTGCTGGATTAACAGTCAGACTCAATGATCTGAGAGGTCTTTTACAACCTTAATTATTCTGTGGTTCTATGGTAGGTACATAAAGGGGATAGAAACAGTGGCAGTTTGGTGCTTAAAGCAAAATTGGCTCTTAGCTCAAGCAATTTTTATTAAAAATTTAAGGAAAAACATAGTAGATGGACAGGGACAGGCAGAAATTGGTGGTATTTGGGCAATGAGACAACACCAGTGGTGCAGTTTTCAGGATGTCCGGATGAATCTGGTGAGAACTTTTAACTGTTGGTTGAAAGCGAATCCAGGGCATTGCTACACCAAAATTCATGCGTCATCTTGTTGATTGTGTCCCTTCAGATGAGGGCCCCCTGGCCACAGTGGTTATCAGGGGAGATGGCTTCACTGAGGAGAAACCAGCACTGCAGGTGGAGGTGAACAGCACAACCTGCCACGTCACAGTGTCGAATCAAACCAAAGTGGTTTGCCAGCTGGAGAGGCTGCCAGTGGGAATCTACCAGCTGGCACTACTGGTGAGGCCTTATGGATTTGCACTCAATGGCAGCACAGGAGAAGGAATCTTCCTGAGGGTGGAGCCAAAGCTGGTCGCCATCGAACCTCCTGCGACTTCAGAGATCGGTAGGTTTGAACACCAGACCAGCTCTGAGGGACCGTCTGCTTTCTGCTCCTTCCTTTCCATGACCTGTTTGGTTCTTCTGTACTTTCACTGCCAAGGTCTTCACCAAGGCTACCACATCTCAAGGAGCCTTTGGATGATACTCTCAGGCACACAGTGTGACTCTTCAGGATGGTCCTGTGCAGGGCTAAGGGTTGGACTCGATGAACCTTGTGGGTTCCAAACAAGTCAGCATATTTTGTGATTCTGTGATGAGAAAGAGATATTATGGCTTTACACGTTGTGTGGGGAATGTTACTTAAAGAGTGTCAGACTTCTCTTTGTTCTTTGTGTAGGCAACCAGTTTCCCAGCTAGTTTTGTTCGGGAATTGTAATTTCAAGAGCACATATATTCATTCCAGCAAATCACGTGGGTGTTAGTGTTTCGTATTCACCCTTCCACATCCATTTGACATGTAGCTGTGTAGTATTTGAATTAATCTGGCCTAATCAGACCAGGTATTAGGAAAAATTTCTTTACTGAAAGGATTGTCAATCATTTTAACAGCCTGCCCAGGGCAGTGATGGAATCACCATTCCTGGAGGGATTTGGAAGACATGTAGATGTGACACTTGGGGAGATGGTTAAGTGGTGAGCTTGGCAGTGCTGAGTTAACAGTTGGATTCGATCTTAAGAGGTCTTTCTCAACCCAAATGATCCCACGATTCTACAACTGTGAAATGGCTGAACTGTGGTTTGTCCCAGTCCCATTGGAGTGAACTCATACAACGAGTAATAAAATGGGAAACACATTCTTTGTTTAGATACAAAACTGAGAAACTTAGAGAAGCTCAAGCTAAACTGAGTCTGCTTCTGTTCCCATTACCTCTCCTCTCTTTGAAACAGAAAAGGAAATAAAGGGTGATATATTCCATACATGAAGAGAAGAGGTGGAAATCTATTCCACAGGACTCTGAGGGCAAACGACCATATGACCCTCTCATGTGCCCTGTATGTGACACAGATGGAAGTTCAACTAAGATGCCCAGACAACTGTAGCTAAGCCAAAAAAATACTACAAATAACCAACCTTTCCTTTTTTTGGGAGAGGGAAGGGTCTACTCAGCCCAACAAGAAACATGGAAAACACTCTTGCCACACCTGGGCTGTGGCAGTAAGGACAATCTCAGCTTATCACTTCTTTTCAAGAATTAAGGAATGTATTTACAAACCACATCTACTCTGACAATAAAGGTTACCCAGATTTTTTTTTTTTTCTGGAAATCTTGGCATTTCATAATTCTGATGTTTTGAGATCATGGTAACAAACTACCCTGAGGGCAGGAATATGGCCTAGGTGCAGCAGGAAGCCACATGGCCTGGAGAACTTGAATCATGCTTGGCCACCTTGGATTAGGCAGAGAAAGGGAATGATGGTCTGTAAACCTCTCCACGGATAAGCCGTGGGATGGACTTGTAATAAGGTAGGGTTCCTAAGCTAGAAGTTGTGTCCACCTCTTTCTTTTCTTTGTTTCTTTTGGGGGGTTTCATGGGAAGGAAGCTATTGTAACCCTCTTAAAAAATTTTTTTTTCCGTAATGGGAGGATCATTTAGTGCAATAAGGTTAAGACTCACTTTTGATTCATAGAAAACCCAAGCCCACAGAAGTAAAACATCTCCAACAAACTCTAAAATAATTCCAGAAATGGTAAATTTTAGTGCTTGGGCCTTGCTTCTCTTTTGCTTTGCTGGTAGTTCAGTTCTTCTCCCAATTACAGTGATCTGTCACTCATTAAAAAGGAAGCAAGTATAATGTTATCTTACATTACATGTGCCTGGAATGTTTGTAATTGGAAAGAATTACAGCTTCCATCTGTGTTTTTAATTTCTTCCATTTAAAATACCTCTTCAGTCTCATCATAAAGTGCACACAGGCAGTATTTCACTGCATGTGGATATAACGTAGATATCAAAACATAAGAGCATCAGTCTTTACACAACACACATGGATTTTGCACTCTAAATCTGAAGCTCCTTATCTGACAAGTCTCTCATTAGACAAGTGGCTTCAGTTTTCACTTCTTGCTCTTTCTGACTCTGCAAATTTAATGTTACAGAACGGGAAGGCGAGAAGCAGCTTGTACTTTGCTGCATCAGCTCCCTCTTGTCAAAATATCCTTGGTGTCAGTGGTGCCATGCTGGGAGATCCCCATGACCTAACTCCAAGAGCATGGAATGCCTTTCTAAAGATACTCCCATGTTCCAGTGGAAAGCAGGAGCTTACTGTCCATGTATCCGATTGCTGTTGTTTGCCTGGTTTTGCTGCCAGCCAGAGGAAATCTAGAAGATTAAATTTCTATAGTTCTCTGGTGGTTTAAAGAATGAAAAGGAACAGATACTTTGGGGGAAGTGTACAGGGGACTTTGCCATCAATACATAATTATTTTAGTGTAGAAGATTGTTTATATCATATATGAAAAGAATCATAAAAGCTCAGTTGGTTTGTAACGTAGTCATGCTAATAAATACAAATAAACACTGCATTAATAAAGTTCCTGTCTAAGCTGTCTGTCCAGACACAGTCCTAAAACTCTCCAGTGCTGAGAACTAGAGCAAACAGCTGTAAGTTTCTGGCAAAATTCCTTTTATTTTTAAATTTGTCTCTGAACCACATCAAAGAACAAAGTCCATGTTAGAATTCCCATTAATATCTGTTCCTGCTCCCTTTTCCTGCTTCTCTTTGAAACATCCCTGAATCTTCTGATCGCTTGGAAAAGCAAAGGGGGCACCTCTACTATTTACACTGGAATAGGATGTTGAAGAAAGATCAAGCACAAGTCTGACTTGTGTGGGGCATGATCCTGCATGTGATGGATGAGGCTCAGCCCTGGCACGAGGGAGAGCAGGGTTTGCTTTAGTACTTCACTGAATCAAGGCCCTCCGTGACTTTCCTCACAGCTCTAAGTCTCAAGCTCTGCCAAGTCCCCTTTCTAACCTAAGTTTCCTAGACACAAGCCACAGGCTTTTTGGACAGCAGGCTCCCTGGGAGCTGTTTGAACTGTGAAAGCACCTGCTGTGTTAAGCTCATTTTCCATTCTTAGTGCTTCTTCCTTCCTTCCCTGTTTCATTCTTGGGCTGGGGATCTGTCTAAGAGAGAGATCACAGGCCAGAGCCTGCTGGTTTAAATAAGTATGTCATTAAAAATTAACCCGAGAAACAAACCAAGCCCCCTCCTGTATCAAGGAGAAGAATCCAAATAATAGGCAAGAAGGATCTCTGGTGAAAGAGAGGAAATCAGGCACAGCAAAGTGGAGCAGATCATCATCAGATCAACTGAGAGACCATACTTTTGTATTCATCTATAAACAAAGAATCCTTTGCATACAAAAATATTCTGTGTATTGAATGTAATTAAATAATTGTGCTTTTTAGGAGGACTGAGAGTGGCTCTCAGGGGGACCAACCTGGAAGGGATAAACGTGGTGTTGTTTGGATCTCAGCCTTGCCCAGTTTTGGAGGATAGCAGAAATTCAACCAGAATTGAATGTAAAGTTCCTTCTCGGGTAAGAAACCACATATTTTGGGGAACAATCAACAACCTACAGGCCTTTCTATGTCTTTCTGGCCTAAGCTACATTAGGGAAAGGGCAAACTGCAGTCCATAAGCCAAGTCTTGGCTGTGGGACAATTTACTGTGCACTCCTTCTACAGAACAGACCAGCTTAATTAAAAATAGATTAATAGGTGATTTATGAAAACCAACCAAACAGCAAACAAATCCTTAATTTAGTAAGGATATTGTGAATTAAAAACGGCACAGTTCGGGATTTTATTTACTAGTTTAATTTACTAGTATGGGTACAGCAAATCCAAATCTGCATAGTCTGGAATAGTTTTAAGGTTTCTAATTCTCCATAGATGTTTCCTTAAAGTCAGCATAAATGTACATATTTAAGTGGAGTCTGGGTACATATAAGTTTCATGAGTGCTATGTGCCTGACTTGTTAGGTATGGGAGATGCAGGAAAATAGTAAATTTATGTTTGTTTTTTTTTAATTAGTACATTCTTATACCTGACATTTTCTTAATTTCTCTTTCTAGGGGACAGAGGATGCTGCTGCCCATGTGACATTGATTTCTGGGTACCAATCAACAACAGTAACCAACTTGTTCCGATATGATCCTTCCTTAAACCCTGCTGTTGTATCCCTGAGCAGGAACAGAAGTGGCATAGCAGGTGAAAAGGCTGAAGACATATATTGGGAACCATCTGGAGAAGTGTTGTTATTGTTGATGGTGGTGGGGCAGAGGGAATGTAGGTCTATGAAGTTTGATCTGACACAGGAGTTTTTGTTTGTTTGTTTGTTTTTTCTTTTAAATTTTATTCCCTATGTTTCCTGCTAGTGCTTGACAATCCTGGTGTTTCTTTATTGGTTTTACTCTAACATACATGAGGGAATGAGTTGCTTGTCCTAGGTCAGTATGGATGTTGTCCACAGGATGTTAGATGTGGTACAGTGCTCCTTTGGTATCATGTTTCTCTAACCCTGCTCTGAAATTTTCCCACCTACTCATTCTTGGGAACAGGTTCAGCCATGACAAGATAAATGAGCTCTACAGAGTGTCCATATCCAGGACAAAAACCTCCCCCAACTCCCAAGTTTGTTTGGACTTGGTGGGGAATTAAGGAATTGGGTGACTATCAGTGGCAAAACGCGCTTCTCGTGCACTCTCTGTATTTCTGTTCCTTTCCCCAAATGCCCTTGTCATTTTCTATTACTCCAGAATGCATAAATAAGAGAAAATGTCCTTTATCACTTGAATATTATTCCGATGCCACGGCACCAAGGGGAGGTTTTTCTCACCGCGGGCATTCCAGGTGCAAGGAATTCCTTAATGTTTCAGAGTCTCATGAATGGTGTTGGGGCTCAGTTCAATCTCCTATTCAGAACCTCCATGGCTTTGTCTTTTAATATAATTTTCCTCCCATATAATAAAAAGAATAAATAAATTACACCAATGCCTTCCAGGCATCTGGGATTAAGCTGAAAATTGACCAAGAGTCCAAAGAGTTCCTGCTATTAACATATTCAACTTTGCAGGCTTTCAAACTTTGTTTGACACTTTGTCCAAGCAGAATTGAAAAGTACTGGCTTCAAGACCTCCTTAGAAGAGCAGGTAGAGGAAGGGCTCTCCTGCTTCATGGAAGCTCTGTCCTCCCTCCTTCATCCCTTCAGGGGAGACAGGAGGGTGAGATTCACTTCCTAAACACATCTCTGTGCTTATTGTTTAGATGTCTTGCATAGTCAGTGAAGAGAAACGATGGTTTTTTGGTGGGATTTACCACAGCTCTTTTGTGTGTCTTATTTACAATACAGTGAATCATGCCATAAAGAATCATGCTCTGTTTCTCTTCACTGACCACAGAGACAGCTATCAGTGAAAATGGCTCTGTTGGGACTGATGGGTACCACCCAAATTTTTAAACCTGTTTCAGGAGGAATTTAGGTTATGAAATTCCCTTCTCCACTGCCCTTGTGCTTTTCTATTACTGCACTGTGCACAGATAAGTAAAGTATCCCCTTTCATCTCAGTACAGCTTGGCTCAAAACAGAGTTTAACTGTGAGAGAGAACCCTGTTTCCCAAACAACAAGTGAGTGAGCTGGGGGTGCATAAGGAGCTGGGAAGGGAACACAGACAGGACACCTCTCCCCAGCTCACCTAAGGAATATTCCAGACCATATGACATCATGCTCATCAGTAAAACCCGGGGAAAGAAGAGGGAAGAGGGGGACGTTCAGGGTGGTGGTGTTTGCTGTCGCAAGTAAGGGTTATGAGCGATGGGTTCCTGCTTTCCTGTGGATGGCTCAACACCTGCCTGCCCATGGGAAGTGGGTGGTGAATGAATTCCTTGTTTTGCTTTGCAAACATGGCTTTTGCTTTTCCTATAAAACTGTCTTTATCCATAAGCCTTCTCCCTTCTACTCTTCCAGTTCTCTCCTCCATCCCACTCTGGGGGAGGGAGTGAACAACTATGAGAGGCTGGGGTTAAACCACAACAGGCACATATATGATCATCTGATTTTAGGCACCCAAAGAAATTTTCGTTTTACTGTGGGAGGCTCCTGTTAAACTTAGATCATCTCCACAGGGCCTAAAAATGTGATGCGGATAACTCGTCAAGGATTTGGGAAAAAACCCAGAACTCTTCAGCTCCCATTTATGTGAGTTTTAAAAAGACAGGATTTGGCTTTTATGAAGTTCATATATATATAGGGAGAGATTTATGATAAAGGGCCATAGATACATCCTGAGTATGGAAGATGAGAGTGGCTGTAGAGGGTCATAGTCAAGATTACTGGGCTGGGATCTCAAGACAACTCTGGCACCTGGTAACCTTATCCACGAGGAATTTAGTAGAATACAGAACTATCACAGTCTTAAACTTTTTGGGTCTTGGGCTGATGGACATGACTGGACCTGTCCTGGCATGATGGGACTCTTTGCTCTTCCTCAGGCAGTGGTCATATGTGCCAAAATAACCACTGGCAGAAAAACTGAAATAGTTTCATCCATTCTTTCCTCTGCAGGAGGGGAGGAGCTTCAGATTGGGATATCTCACTTTGCCACCTACCGAGGTTCAGATGTCAAGGTGCAAATTGGAGACTCGTGGCCACAGATCCAGGAGCAGACAGACCACGGTGTTCATGTGACACTTCCAGCCTTGGCTGCAGGGTGGCACAATATTTCTGTCACCATCAGTGGTATCGCTATTGCTTCGAACAGGTGAGCATTTTCCTTATAAACTTCATCCTCCATCCCATTTGGTGTTTTAGGGTTAATCTGAAAAGGAAGGCAAGAGTTTTTCCCAAACACCTAACAGTGAATTCTGCAGTGTGGTATAAAATTATGAATAATTATCAAGGCATTTATTGATCTGTGGAACCCAGGTCAGCAAACTGCTAATGCTACTCAATTAACTCCCCTTGGATCAGTTGGAGGCAGGAGAGAAACATTTTAGAAAAAACCAGTTGATTTGATGAAAAATGCATATTCAGGCAATCAAAGGTATTCATGGATTCAGGTCAAATGCAGATAAATCCTGCTGTAGGAAAACAGCAGAAGAAAAGAAACACTTTTTATCAGAAAAACAAAAGCTAGTTTGAACAATAAAAAAATGCTTTGTTTGGAGAATTCTTAAATGATGCTATTTCCATCTTTTAAGGTGACACTTCAAGTTCATGCCTAGATAAATGTAATATAAATGAATAAAAATGTGGGGGGGAAAACCGACCTGAAATGGGGATGTAAGAATGCACTCACAAGCAGCACAGTTTTAATTCTCATCCATGGCAGCTGCCAGGAATGATCCTGAAACAATGATATTGGGGAGAAATGAACTAGTTTTGTTGTTTCCAAACCAACCTAAGCTGCTCGTAGCACTACTAAACTTCAAGAGAAAATTCGTGGTGATGTGATGACACACAGGGATTCATCCCACCCGGTTCTGGAGTCTCCTGGCAGCACCCTCCCTTCTTCTCTGGGGATAGAGTGGAGAGAGATGGGTCATCTCAGGAGACAAGTCTGATCTCTGGTGGGCTGGATTGCAGGATTGGGAAGGTCTCCTTCTCTAATGGATCTTTTTAGTGAAGGGAGTGTTTTTGAAAGGAGGGTGGTGAGGAGGAAAAATAGATGTAGATGAGACAGAAAGAGAGCTACACCTTTATCTGAGTGGCTTCAGGAGCTCATATCTGGGTTTCCTCTTGCTTCAGTTGCTCCAATGTCTGGTGGGAGGATGTGAGGAGAGAAGGCAGTTGGGATGTCTCTTCAATGCACTTGCGTCTCCTGCTAGGGGTGTAGCTACAGTGGGATCTGTTTACCAAAAAAATCCTCATTCCTAATGGGTTTTTCTTTTGATTGGCAATTCACTTGCACCCCATGGGCTAAATTTGACCCACAGGTTGGCAGCTGATAAGAGAGTGTGTGTGACAGATTTAGCTCAAATGTGTCCTTGCCCATGGCAGGAGGGTTGGAATGAGATGATCTTCAAGGTCCCTTCCAACCCAAGCCATTCTATGATTCTATGGAAAAATTTGGAGCGTGGGGTGGTCTTGTCACTTGTGGCATTAAACCAAGGGGATGTGACAGGTGAGTGTTTGACTTTCCAAGCTAGAAAGAGCTGTTGGAAAGAATGGCACTGCAGCAGGAGAGAAAAATATAAAAACCACCCCCAAATCCTTTCTGTGTTGCTTGTGTTTTGCAGGACTGAGCTGTTAATCCAGTACCTCTCCGAGATCTTCAGCGTGGAGCCGTGTTGTGGCTCCTTTCTGGGTAAACAGTGTTGATACATCTGCAGCCACTTATGGAGGTTAAAGGGATCAAGGGCACAGTTTTCCTGCAGGAAAGGAAAGTGCATCCCATTTCACATGAGTTTAAATAAGGGTGTTTTGAATCTGTGACCCTTTATTATGCAGACATCAACAGGCAGACAGCAGCAATCTGGAAATGTGGGATTGTAGTGAGCATCCCTCAATCTGGTTGGCTGGCTCAGGGCTCTCTCTGCTTTGAATTTGATTTCCCCAAGTGTTTGCTCATGTGTTCTTGCATGTTCCCATTGGGAAAACAAAGCACGCCCACACCAGGCTCATCTGTGCTGGTTCTTTCAGTCATTTCGCCCCTATCTTTCAAGGTTTTCCACGTGAAAGTTAGGTGGGAAGCAGGGTAAAATTGTGATTTGAAGCAAACAATAATTTCAAGTGATCTCAAAGGGGATGTTCGTTTTTGTTAAGTTGAAAAGAAAAAAAAAAAAGCAGCCCTTTTTCAATGTTAATTTTAATCAAAAGTGAAATATTTATTAATCCTTTTCCAAGCTTTTAGACACTGGAAATAATTTAAGTGTGTTTGAGAGTGAAACATCACTGAATTAAAAAGAAAAGTTTTACTTTAAATCTTAAAAAGATTTGGGGTGGTTGATTTATTTTGTCATTTGGCTGGTGGTGGGGGAGAGTTGAATCCCTGTAGTGAATTTTACATGAGCCTTTAGAAAAGCTTTTATAGAAGACAGAAAAATTCTTGTGCTACAACCTCAGGTCCTCCACAGATTGCTCTCCCAGGCTCACAACACATTTAAAGACACAAAAATTCAGAGGCTTTGTGGTACGTGATTAGTTCAATACTTTGTGAAGTGCTCAAGCCTTGAAAGATGAGAGAGTGGATAGAGCTTGGAGAGCAAATCCTGTAAATTTTGAAGATTAGCCATACTAAAAAAAATAATAAGAGTTGTACCCTTCTTTTCATATTTAAGGGTAAATTGAAAATTAAATAAGAACTGATTAACTTTTTGGTTGTGGCTTTATGAATGGCTTAAGCTGAATCAGAATCTCATTGCTGCAAAAAGCACCAGTCCTCCCCCCCTTACCTCTAGTCTTTTGTTGTCTCTAACACTTGTATGGGCATCTGGATTAAGGATCTGAGCTCAAATCAAAAAGAATTCCATCATAAACCAACACTTTGCAGCCTGATCACTGGAAAAGGAAGGAATGGGCTTAATGGATAAAGAGGTTGAAACAAGGCAAAGCACTGGGAGTACCACTAATGAAAGGAAGAGGGACAGAGCTTTCAGGTGGGCTCTTTCCTGTGAGGGTGGGGAGGCCCTGGCACAGGTTGCCCAGAGAAGCTGTGGCTGCCCCATCCCTGCAAGTGCCCAAGGCCAGGTTGGATGGGTCTTGGAGCAACCTGGGGTAGTGGGAGGTGTCCCTGACCATGGCTGGGAGTTGGAACGAGATGGTCTTTAAAGTCCTTCCAACCCCAAACCATTCTGTGATTGTATGAAATCTGGAACTCTGCCTGAGTCTGAAAGCAGTCATTTCTATGTTCTGCTTCCCTGTAGGCAGCAGGACCAAACCATCTCCTCATCTACCTGTATGGACAGTCCCATTCCATGAAGAGTTCAGCCTCTGTTTACTCTCTGGGGTCCTTTCACAGCAACTTCCTCTAGTTCTTTCTCCTGTAGTGGCTTTTTACTGTCATTTACTGCCACAAGGGTGCCTGGCTACCTCTTACCTCAGCCTCTTGTCCACGTAGGATTATCCTGATGTATGGTTGCTTATTGTCTAACTGTCCTATCCAAATAAAAATGGACTTTATTTCTTCTTTCATTCAACCTGGCTAAGACAGACATGCTTATCAGCTTTATCATAGAATGGTTTGGGTTGGAAGGGACCTTAAAGATCATGGTTTGTGATTGTTCATGGACAATCATTAATTCCTTTCCTGCATATAATGTCCTTCTTCCTTATTTTGCTTTACTCCTAGGTGGAACACTGCTCACAATCTCTGGAGTGGGCTTTAGCCGAAATCCTGCCCTGGTTTCTGTTTCAATGAACAACCAAACCTGTCCAGTTACTCACGTGGTAGAAGAGACAATTTGGTGCCTGACCCCAGCAGCTGCTAATTTGTCTAATGAAGATTCACAAGACATCTCTGTCAGAGTAAACGTCGTCATCAGCAGCAGATCACTTAAATACTCTCTCTTGGCCAAAAGGACCACCACCTTTACCTACCAAAGAGCTTTGACTCCCCTTGTTACATTTGTTGAAACAGAAACCACAGACAGCAGCCTGCTTTTGAGCATCCAGGGGACAAACATCACTGGATCTGTGGCTAAACTTGGAGACAGTGAATGTCAACTCGAGTTTCAACGTGGCAACAAGTCTGCAACGTTTTATCAGTGCTCTTTGCCACTGAACAGCCTGGAACCTGGGACTTTCCCCATCCAGGTTATCCACAGGCAGCTGGGATATGCTCATGTGACAGCAAGGCAGCAGGCCCTTACAGTAACGCCACGGATAACCTCCATATTCCCAGCAAAGGGATCAATCTGCGGTGGGATGTTGCTCACTATATCTGGCACTGCTTTAAAATCCAGGAGGAATTTGGTACAAGTCAGCCTGGAGAGTAATTATTCCTGTGAGATCCAGAGGTCTGATAACAATGCCATTAGTTGTGTTGTCCTTCCAGCGTCACATCCTTTGCGTTCTCAGGGGCTGGATGAGGCATCCCGGGCTCTCAGTGTCACAGTGACTGTCAATGGGGTCAGCAGTGTGTGCCTTGGGGACTGTACACTCCACCTCCACGAGCAGTGGACCCCCCTGGTACATTTGGTGACCTGGAAGACCAATGGGACACTCACCTATGTGACAGTCAAAGGACAGAGATTGGCCTGGCCAAGCGACAGGCCCCTGGTACATGTGAACAGCCACACTGTCTGCAAGGTCACGTTCTGGAACGACACCATCATCGAGTGCCAGACAGCCTGCCTTGCCCCAGGGGAGCACAGCGTTTCCATATCCAACAGGAAAAGTGGGAATGCTTGCTTTAGGGCGGCATCGAGTGTTCTCCCCATCCTGCCTCGGGTGGATCGGTTCTACCCACAAAACTTCAGCGTCAACGGGGGAGGTCTGCTCACCTTGACAGGCTCAGCACTGAAAGGGCAGAGAACAACTTCTGTTCTCATAGATCACCACCCTTGCCACGTCCTCGGTGTCACCTGTGCTGCTCTCCAGTGCACGGTGCCTCCGGGTAACGGCAGCAGAGCTCTGAGTCTAAAAGTGGATAAACATTTCTATTACCTTGGGACAATAAGTTACAGTGAGGAGTTTGCCCCAGCTCTCCATTCACTTGTTGTAAGTGGCCTCCTTCTAACGATGACAGTGTCACGGGCCACAGAGATGGACACCATACACGTGTTTGTTGGAGACTTTGCTTGCAGTCGTGTCACCATCGCTGGCTCCACGTTGCAGTGTTCAGCTCCTCCGCTCCCTGTGGGTGAATATCCTGTGCTGGGCCTGGATATCCCCAGGGGCTGGGCTTCCTCCAACCTGACGTTCACCTCTGAGCTGACGGTGACAGCTGTGAGTCACAACTGGGGTAAGTCATGGAGGGTTTTGTGTGAGGGACTGAGGTGACAGGCTTTTTTGTCATGAAAGCAAAAATTATGAAATTATGAATTAAAAAAATTACTTTTAATGACAGCTGCCTGTCAGGCTCTGTCTGAAATCCTCTTTTTTTGTCCTTTTCCAAGGTGGCTTGAGTGGAGGAGCAGTTTACCTGCATGGGAGTGGGTTTTCCCCTGGGAAGACTTCGGTCACAGTCTGTGGCACCAACTGTGAACCTTTGGGCAAGACAACTGTGACTGAGCTGAGCTGCCTTGCCCCACGCTTACATGGTCAGTTAAAGCACAAAACCTGTCATTGTGTTAAAAATATATCCCCTAAAAATCTGTCTTAACCCAAAAGGGGGGTTACCAGTGTGTCTCATCCCAGGGGAACAGAGAGAAGCCATGGAGAAAGGAGGGGAGCCAAGTATTCAAAAAACATGTGGATGTGACACTTCAGGACATGGTTTAGTGGTGAACATGGTGCTGGGTTCATGGTTGGACTTGATCTTAAAGGCCTTTTCCAACTTTAATGATTCTACAGTTCTGTGGCCCCACACATTTTGTGTTTTGGGTGCATTGTGGGACAACCTCAGTGGGGTAAAGGGCTGGGAGGAAAAGAGTGAATGACTGGAAGGGTGAACAAATGATTTACCATGGCCAGTTCATAGCTTTGGGAAGATGGAGATGGGGTTTTGAATTCCTTGAGAGCAAGATGGGAGCATCTTCCTTAACTGGAGACTGAGCATGGGATGAATCCAAGGTCTCCAGCTTTCTCAAAGAGAGAAATAAGCCTGCCTCAGTTTTTGAGCAAGCTCTTCAAAATGGGCATTTTCTGGGACAAGATATGCTTCCTCCCTTTTCTACTGGAAGCACAGAATGAGGTTCTTAAAATCTGCAAAAGGAAGGATTTTAGGACTCTTAAATCTCACATGAGACATATACCATTCCCCAAATGCTGAACATGGAGCACCTGCCTTGGTGCTTGACTTCTTGATGGAGTCACCATCCCTGGAAGTGTTTAAGAAACTCCTGGACGTGGCACTCAGTGCTCTGGTCTGGTTGACAAGGTGGGGATCGGTCACAGGTTGGACTCGATGATCTTGGAGGTCTTTTCCAACCTAAATGATTCTGTGAATCTGTGATTCCAAACCTTGGAAGTGCAACACTTCAGCCCCTTCACAGCCCTGAAGCTTGGAGAACATCTGGAGGTCTACAGAAGTATTTGCTGTTCTGTGGTCATCCAGAGATCCAACGATGATGTGATCAAATCATCAGTGACCAAAGATCCATGACCTCTTATCCTTTATGGACATGGCAGAAAGGTGTCAAATGAGATTCCAGGGTTTTGGTCAAAGGCATGTGGAATCTCCATCCTCCAAAATAATCAGAAGTGGACTCAATTAGTTGCTGAGAAACCAGTCCAATGTGAAATTTAACATTCTTTTGAGCAAGGATTGTGACAAAAGGCATTCAGGTGTTCTCTTCAGCCTCAGTTATTCCAAAATTCTAAATTTTCTCATGTCATTTTTAACAGTTCCTTTCATAGAATCACAGAATGATTGTAAGGGTCATTAAAGATCACCTAGTTCCACCCCTATCCATGAAGAATATTAACAAAAATGTAAGGAAAAAAACCCCTGGGGCTTTAAAACCCAACCACATGCACTCAAAAGGAGACACCGAGAAGTCATAAGGGCTCAATTTTCTTAATTTTAAACAAGATCCAGGCACAACCCACAAAACTGCTTGTTATTTTAAAAAGAAAAAAGTCATGGTGCTGGAGTGCTGAAAAAAATTAATCAGAGCACAACACAGGGCAGTCCAGCTATTTCAGGGAGAATAGCAAAATATAATGTAACCAAATTGATCCAAAGTGTGGAAGCATTAATAACTGTGTTCAAAATTCACTGAGTGGTTGATGGGAGAGGAATGCTGGGGAAAGCCATTTCACAGGCAGGACCACGATGCTTATTCCTGACACTAGATGTCAGCAATGGAATGCTGATCGCTCCCAGTGTTTATGGAGAGGAAATGCAAAGGATGTGTTGCCTCAATAACCAAAGGCAGAGTTACAATCCCTCTCTTCCCTGCCCTGGATTTTGTAGCCTTGCCAGTCTTACCAGTCGAGTTGCAAAAAAGTTAATTAAATATTTACAAAAGTATCTTTTTTTTTCTTGCCTTAAAATAAAAAAAATTGTTTTCAGGCTGCTCAGAACTGTGTTTATCAGGTTATTTGTACTCTCAGAGACAGCTGTATTCAGCCTTTGCACATTTACATTTGGCACAGGTGAATCTGCATACAGAGGAAGATGCTTTCCAGACAGTATTACACTTAATATTTAGAGTCACCCCCACACCACTGCATTTAGGATAGTAGTAGATGTGTTAAGTGCAGTTAGTCCAGCCTCACCTTATGGTTTACTCGCTGCTCCTTGCCTGAGATATTTTGCCACTTGGCACTCACACATCCAGCGCTCAGACCTTTCTTTTACTGCCTCATCCATGTGGGAGAGGTGGCAAAGCCAGTTCAGGGATGCAGGACCACGAAGCATGAAGGAATGGGAGGGATAGGTCTGTGATGCCCCAGGGCCCCTTCGGTGGCTCACCCAGGTTGGATGCTCGTGTGACATTTCCCGGCTCTGATCGCCCAACTGGGTGATGTGAAGTGAAGAGTTTAAGCTGCATTTCTTCTGTTACGGTGCCCTGTGAAGCAGAAACACCTCCCCTCTGGCATTGTTGGATGTCAGGTGGCAGCTGCCTGCCCTGGGGTTTCAGCATTGGGTTGTTTTCTATGTTGTGTCTGGCCTGCTTAAGATTAGAGGTGTTCATGTGGGAATTCCCAGCGGTTCCTGTAGCTCGCTCATGTGATCAGATCCAGAGAGTAAGGCTCTGCAGGCAGGCAGTTTCCTAAGAGATGAGGAACTGCTGGGCTCAGCCATCCATAAGCCTGTCCCACAGGGTCTTCCTTAGGAATGGGAGTTGAACAGGGTCACAGCAAGGTTTTGGTTTGATCATTGGCAAGAGCTGGGCATGATTTTGCTGATATGTGCTCAATCCAGAGCACAAGGAATGGGAGTGCAAACCTAGACTCTTTTATGGAAACTCATCTTTTGAAAGATGCAGAAAAATAAGTTCAAAACAGAGCTAAAACATGAGTTTCATTCCTAAAGCTTAAAAAAATTACCAAAATTAAATAAAATTAGCAAAACCACAGGGCCTACAAGGAAAACCAAAACAAAAAGAAAAGACTGACCCATGAGTCTTTAAAGGTTTGGTAAGGACAGATAATTGACAGGATCACCAGCCTAGAAGTGTTCAAAAGCTGTCTAGATGTAGCATTTGGTGACATGGTTTAGTGGTAGGCTTGGCAGTGCTGGGGAATGGTTGGACTTGATCTTAGAGGGCTTTTCCAGCTGAAATGATTCTATGATCCTGAGAGCTCTACCCTTCTCTTTATGCTCATGCTGCACCACAGCTGATGAAGGCAAATACAGCTATGGGTTCTGTTCAGCTCAGGTTAAATTTACAGAACACATGGTTAATGCCTGTGGAACTGAGTTGTGCCCCTGCAAAAGATGGGTAGACTGGTGGGAAGCTTGAGGCAGGTGAGAAAATAACTGAACATTCCTCTCAGGTGATAATAGGGTGGGTACCATACATAAATTTTGCAGTAAGCAGTACCTGAGATTTTGTGTTTGACATTAGGGTGAGGGTAAGGAAGGCATCTCTGAAAGGAGTTGAACTGATAAGATCCACCAGGGTGAAAGTTGAGCCTGATTGGCCTGGTTGCATCAGCATGCTTGGGGGATAACAGGTCTGGCTTTAGGTCTTTGATGTAGCAGCTCTTGGGATCTTTGTTAGCAAGTCCTCCCTAACCTACCATTTACCAGATTCCACTGGTAAAAGTGCATGTTTGAGGATGAGGATTCAGATCAGAGGCTAGAAATGAGGCGGCTTGCAAAGGATGAGAGACATGGGTTGGTGGAGCTTTTCAAATGGGGAAAGAGGAGAGAGAGGAATGAGTTTTTCAGTTGTAACAAGAAGATGCACTGGGCCAGGACCCAGGGTGACTATAGCCAGACAAATGGGGTGATTTGGATGGGCAAATGCAGAAGAAATGAAGAAGACATGTAGTGGCAATTGAGACCTCAGTAGAAGTCAGGGCCTCTGATGTTTATTGTGGGCATCAAATCAAGGGATCCAAAGGGTCCCTTGTATCTTTCAAATCCAGAAATGATTTCAGAGAGGGGGTAATAAAGCATATTGATTACATGGCAGGAATGTTCTGACAGTGAGATCTATCAGGTTGTGGAATAGAGGCTTGAAAGCCACCTCTTGGGACTTCTGAAACTCAGCTGTGTGAAATAAATGTCTCCCAGGGAGCAATTCTTCATAGGCAGAGGTTGGACTCAATGACCTTAACAAGTCTCTTTTTTTCCTCTCCCTTTTATTAACTTCTTTTTTTAAAAAAAATCTCTGTCTTCCCTGCTAAGCACATGCTAATGTTGTGCTCCACAGTCTGCTTGTGAGTGGTGGGTAACTGGGGATGTGTGGTTTGGCACCAGGACTCCTTGGGCAGTTCTTCAATCAACCCACAGCTGCCCTGTAGGTTTTAGCCTCATCACATGTCCAGCAGTTGTTATTAAACAGCGACCCTGAACAAAGACCTTGTGCTGAGCATCCCAGGATCCTGGATTAAGCCAGAGTATCCCTCAAAGCCAGGGTTGGGGGCAGTTGGTCCCTAACCCGTTACCAACATGCAGAGATTTGGCTGCCATCGTGTCTGATCTCAAAAGAGAAGCTGTAAAGGGCTGAGTGCTTTCATCTCAGCCATGGGATTGCAGGTTTTATCTTGATTAGGAATATAAAGCATAAAGAAGCTTCATTCTGGGGTTTGGACACTAACCAATTAAGCAGGGAGAAGAACTGTGTCCCAGAACAGGCAGAACATCCTTTTAGGATGTGCTAAAAGTGTTTTGAAATCTTTAGCTTGTATTTTTTGGTGCTGTTGCAGCAGGAGACAATGACACCAATAATACCAAGAGATATTTGTGTTTCATGGTCAGGGGAAGGAGAATTGAAAGGCCAAGATTTCCTCCTAACTGAGAAAAGATATTAAGACCTCTGGGAGCAGAGGAATTAGGAGGACCTTGGAGATCCCCAAAGAAAGAATAAGAAAAAGACATAATCTCTAAGAGTGGTGTCTCCATCAGCTAGACAGATGTAGGGTGTGGAGATGAGATTCTTCCCTCCTTCTGCCTGAGAGAGAGAAAGCAATTCTAAGTTTGATTTTGGGGTGTGCAGATTAAAAAGGGTTTGCTTGGATTTTGGTTTCACTAATCTCTT